ACAGGGATCTCCTGGGTCATGGAGTCCGGACACCACGAGAAGCCTGATCACCCATCGCATTTGCAGACCTGGAAAGCCTTTTTATATGACAAAAAGCGATCTTTATAGTTGGGACCTAAACAACAGCCTCACTAATATTTAAACCACCAAACTTCCAGTTGTAACTACAAAAACAAAACCAAAAAGCACCCACCACATACTAACTATTTAGATACCTTTTCCAAGGGATGTTAGTCACTTTCTTGTGATGTTCTTCTTCGATTCCCATTTTGCAAAGTCCCAAATTGTGCTTTACTAGGATAAGAAAAAGAGAATGTGTAAAAGAGAATGTTTTAATTTGAATACTTAGGTCTTTATAATTCTATAGAAGATGTTGAAGTAAACAATGGAATTTAAAGGTTAAAAGTTCACTGTTTTAACCTACATTTGTGTAATTTGCTCTAGCAACTCTTTGCAGCTTTAATGGCAATTACTGTGAAAAAAAAAATCCAGTTTTGTTTCCTTGAAGCCAAATCTAGCCTCTCATGAATCAAAGTGATGCAAAACCTGATTGTTCCTATCACGACGTCTGACGTGGGGAGGGGAGGGAAGCCATCACCTCTTCCAGCTGGAGTTTCCATCCTGGATTAAGATTATGAAGAAATCTCTAATTAAAACTCCTGAGCACGATTCAGAAAAAATGTATAGTTCTGAACACACAGGTTGTAAGAAACAGTGCAAATAAACACAGACCCTGCTATAAGTGAAGGCACCTCTGTCCTCACGTATTCTGAACACCAATTTGCCTGCTGGTCAAGCAGAACATCTAATAGACTTGATGCAGTAAAGTGTCCTGCATTTTCCTGGACTAACAGTTAACATTTGTTCTGTTTGCCACAATAAGAGAAAATACTTTCTGATAATTGGGGAGGTCACTTATCTCTCTAAATGGCAGCMAAGATATTTGAAAGAACACACAACAAACTCTCATTGGCTTACCACATCTATGTAAAAAATGAAAAAAAAAAGCTCAAATTCAATAATTGACGGCATTAAAGTTATGAAACGGTTTGTATTTTATACACAGAGTATGTACATTGGTTTTGGAAATGTGGGTTTTATCCATGCAAATTCAATACAAAAGCTATTTACAAAAAATAATAGTAAGAACATTTTTCAAAAGAAACATATACATGTTGGAAGCTCCAGCAACAATGGAAGTCCTGAAAAAAGACTTAAGATACAGTATTGTACAGGTAGACAATCTTCAGCAATGTGGAAAATGCACTTTACAAGAACATGAAATGCCAAATGAATTCAAATGCACTACCAAGTAGATGGAAATATATATACAATTTTATCATCCTACCAAATGATGACCCCTCAGCTGTGCTGCAGAACTACTCCTGTCTTGCACACATTTACACGTTGATCATTTGGTTACGTTTTTCTGAGCTTTTATCATCGCACGTTACAAAATAAAATACCCGAATACCAACTGAGAGATCACTGTGAAGTAACCATGTTTTCCTTGTTCTACACGTTACACAACAGTAAAAAAGTATTCACATTATTCCGCACGTAATACACCTCATCACCCTTTTTTTGCAATGCTTTCCATGGGCGTTGCAAGGATTTGCATTAACTGTTGGTGGAAGTGACATTAACAGTTGCAAGGCAGGAATTCCCAGCGCTGCAGCAACGCTTCCTGTAACACACGGATCCAGTAAACAGAATTCTTATTACCATTTGCCTATGCAGAGCCCCACGTTGCACATGCTCCAGAAACACTATTAACACTGAAGGATGGAAGCTTGCGTGCCAGCAATGGCACAAGCAAATCCTAAACAAATTCTGGGAAGATTTCACTGGTTCACTCCAATTTAAAAACAAAGCACAATTAAAAAAAGGGGTTTTGGATTTATTTCCAAATATTAGCTATTTCGCAACCTGCCTTGGGAAAATTTGRACAGCTTTGCTGGGGAGGGGAGGTGCGGGGAGAAAATGTCAAGTTTGTCTAATTCACACARTTCTGAAAGAGCTGCAGAAATCCTTCTTATGCCAAGAATTCGTTATAAGAGACTTATTTTAAGCTGTAGTTCAGTTACAAAACTATTGAGGGCAATTCTCGTTTCACTGAARTCAATGGAAAGTTTCTTAAAAGGATTTAAATTGTTATTAGTTTATGCTATTCACCATTAAGGTTTGCTAAGAGACTAAAGGAGTTGTGAAAGTTTTGTCTTTTTTTTCTGTTTTTTTTTTTTTTAAGATTAGGATTATGAAGCATATATAGAAAACACAAAAATATACTCCTTCTTAAAATGTATTTGTTTACAAAATATCTTAACTGAGAATGACTGATGTCATTGTTTTTACAATAGCTTTTCTCCTTCTATAGCAATTTTAGGCAGACTTATAGCAATTCTTTGCCTCCCATGTTTTCAAAAAAGTCTAAAGTTCTAAAACATCTGTTAAATAAATATAACATGTAACCACAATTGCAAATTATACATTGTGAGAATTGTGCTATGTGAAATATCTGAGACAAAGAAAACAAAATTGCATTTTCTTATGTCAAACTACTCCAGTACAGTGGCAAGTTTAAACTACTTTAAACTAAGTTGGCCAGAAATCCTCTGTTTTAACAGCCAGAATCAGCAGAAATTTTCTTTACAGGAGCAGACTATTTTCATTACCTTTGTATTTCCAAACCTCTGTTTTCAGAAGATCTATACCATAAAATTCTTGATGAAAAAGGGTAGTTTGTATTCTCCTCTATTTTTATATTACATAATGATCTTTTTTTCCATGTGGAAAAGAGYAATACTATTTTTTATGCAACATTTTTATAGTTGCCTTTGATTTACCAGAGATTGCTAATTTTAGTCATTTCTTTTAGAATTATGTTAACTTACAGCAGACCCTGCAAGACTCTACTGCTAAAAATCGGGAAACTAAAGCTTCGCTCATGTCAGGCAAGTTTAGCTAAGCCACGTTTGCCATGGTCTGCAGCTTCCCTTTCCTATAAACTATAAGTGAAATATTTACTGAAGTCAGCACAACTTACAYGGACTTCAGAAGAGCTAGGACTTACTCAGAAATCATGATTCATGTCATAGATATTTACTGTTTCTAATGTATCTCTCTGCATTTTATAATACTTTCGTGTCTCGGTTTTATTTGGAAGAACCTCAGCTTTGGGGTATAACTGGGTTTCTGGRTCCTCTGCAATACCCCAACCAGCACACGGAATTAGCTATATTTTATAATACCTAGGAAGCATCTTCGAGATGCTGCATATGAAGTCAGTGAACTTTAAAATAATGTTTTTAATGCCACTGCTTGAAGATCTCACAACATTTGGGACATTATTGCTTTAAAAAAGATCATTCCCGTGTGAAATATTGCAGCCATTCAAACACCCAATGAAATAGAAGAAAAATAAAAACAAACAAGGCCATAAGCCCTCTGTCAGTATGCTGTTTCACTTAGTAATTTACAGTTTCTTATCACATTATTGCAGTAAGTTTGTATAACATCCACTATAAAAAAAAATTTGTGTAACTCTTATATTTATTAGGAAAACTTAATGAATTTTCCTAAAGCTTTTAAAGTTCTTTTCTTCAAGTTAAAAGTATAAACTTCATATGACCACGAGAGCAATTASGCAGGTCTCTGATAAATGTTTTTAAAAACCTCTATCAGCTGTGCCAAATATTAAGTAATCACTTTACATCCTAAACAAAATAGAAAAACAAGTTATCTCAAATATACCAAGTGCTGGGAGCAGGGATTCTGGGATCACAGTAGTTCRCTATTGCCACCGGAGCAATTTTCTCTCACAAAAAGTAAAGAGGGAATAGGGAGGAGGAGGAGGATGCAGTAATGCACAAGGTGAAGTTACAGGATCTGTGAATGAAGAAAAAGAAATACAGAGATGCTGGGATCAAAAGGAAAGGAAGAAAAGGGATTGTGAATTCCCGTGCAGGGAAGACGGCAACTATTTCCACTGGAAATTTTTAAAGGGAATATGCAGGAGGGTTGCACTAGATGATCTCTAAAGGTCCCTTCCAACCTTAAGGATTTTATGATTCTATGATCTGCTTTTTTTGCATCTTTTGCAGTCGTTCCCCCATGCTCCATCATGAARGGAATCATGGCATGGCTTTGGAGTGTTTGTGAAAGCAGCTAAAGAAAGATGAGAAAAGATGCATCCAGTCATGCTGGTCCATCCCCCAAACTGCTCCTGTGAATACTGGAAGAAGGCCTTAATTTTGCAGTGTTAATAAGGAAATTGTGTGAGAATGACAAATATCCTTCCCCTTGATGCCTGCTGAAAAGCACGAAGAGGGGCTGTAATAATTCCCCAAGTTGGTGTGCAAGAACACCAGAATGCTTAAAAATGTAAATGCTGTTTTAGTGGTTTTCAGCTTGAGATACATTATAAAATGAATACCTCAATTAATTCCAACTAATAACCATTTTCAAAGTTATTTTGGAAATAATGAGCAAGTTTTAAATAACTGGCAATCAGCTGGCATACTGCAAGAAAATTCTTAATGCGTGCATTGTGATTATAACCATTATCTTCTTGAAACATAGTATTGTTTCAAGAAAAAAAATAATCAATGCAAAAGCCTCGCTATAATCAGTGAGAATTTGGTTCTAATTGGGGGAAAAAAAAGTATTACTTTGGGATCAGAACACATTTAAGATATGAAAACGAAACAGTAATGTAAATCTGTTCAAGCCCCATAATCCAGGTGACAATTTAATTTCTTTACTGTTGGCAAGCCTGTGGCTATTGGACTAAMATGGAGCATTTTTTATTGTCACGGATCACTCCAAGGAAAAACAAAAGACAAAAGCCATTCTTAAATTGTTATGCTCTGCAAGTGCAGAGAGACAAGTCTTGCTGATTGAATTATATTAAGCTTAAGCATTTTAGTCTTAGCAAGACTTTTCTGAAATTGCCCTTAGTGAAAAAGACTCATTTGAAAAGCTTAAATATCTATTTCATCTCTCAATGAGTTGAAAAACAATTAAAGATAAATAAACTAGCATGTTTCAAAGTCAAGGCAATCCAGTTTTCTTTAGTAAATATTTATGTAGCCWACAATTGGTAATGATGACTTCAAAAATTAATTTTTAACTAACTGTTCAGTAAGTCGTGCTTTGAGAATACACTATATAAACAATAGTGTATTTAATAATTACACATGAATCAGTCTCCTTCACTTCATTTTAAAATAATGCAACTTTAAAACTAAAAAAATGTAACCGGAAGTTCTTTTTTCTCAGCTATTAATACTCAGAACTATTATAACTAAGGAATAAATGATATCCCTCCCTCATTCTTTTATGAATTTTATCATATGGTTTCTAGATAAATTGGCAAGAGCAGAATTTAATTCTGTTGCACACTGGCAAACATATCCCTTGACCTAATTAACAGCTTATGCCAGAATATCAGTGTCACAGTCAGTATCTAACATGTTTTTCTACCCCCTACCCTTTGATCTACCTATTTGTAAAGAACAAAGTAATGCAAACAGACTTATTACAAAAATTACAAAATTACAAAGGAACTGAACTGTGTACGGTTTCAGAAAGGTCTCAAAACACTGAGAACCTGTGCAGAAATAAATATATATACCTAGAAGTTCAACCACCACCACTGTGGGAATATTTTTTTTCTTTCTACATTTGTCCAGAAACATTTAATGTCTCAGCACAGTGACATGTATACAAACYGATTTGTGTGCTATGCCACGCACTTGTGTAAATTCTACAATAAACCCTGTAAACAGGAAAAACAAACATCCCAACACTGATATTTGTCAATTGAACTATGAATATAGCTGTGGTAAAAATGTAATGTGGAATCAGGAACAATATTACATAAAATCCTGAAAGTCACAGCATAAACCTGAGATTTTGGTAGTTTTATCAAAAATGTCCCAGATTACTTTGTATGCATCACTAGTCCTCACGTCTTACTCACCATGTACATTACTGTTTGTCCCAAACAAAGGAAAGTCGACGACCTTTTTTCTCCAACAATACATTAAAACAAAAGTGATTAGGTATCAAATTAAATATCATAAATAAAATGTATTTACAGTATTTTCTAATCATTAGACAATAAAATAATCAATTAAATTGTGCAACAAACTTAAAACATCCAACATCAAAAAAGTGAAGTATTATTCAAATCTTCACATACTGACTTTACAAAAAACTATTAAAATATTTAAAAATTCCCATTGTATCTATTTTAAACAAAGAAATTGCAAAAATGTTTAAGACTGTTAAGAGTTATCAATTACACAGGCACTTCACATGTAAACAATCTACAGTACAACTGAAAAAAATATTTGGCACCAACCTAGAAGACTGGAAAAACTCAAAATGTGTTCTTTTTCCCCCATTCTATGCTGTTTGTATAATTACCATAAACTCAGACTAAATACTGGCAATGTTAGAAGTGTGTAGAGTTACAATCAGGAGTGCAAGAAATAAAGAACCTAAACTTTAAGCTTTCTGAAAGCGCAGAAGTGGATTACATGGGATCAGTCACTCAGATTTTACCATCATATCAATGCTACATTTTTGTTTTACTTCTAAGTCAAATGACTAATCTTTCAAGCGAGGGATTAGGGTGGTGTACTTCTAAAGAAATTCAGCATTTTCAAYGCAGGAAAAGAAATCCATCTTTTTGCTGTAACTTCATGGGGATGTTACAGCAGCTTTTATGGCAGCTTTTGATTTAYGTTAACTGGAAAGAGAACTTCAATCTCTTCGTGCCTCCAATTACAAAAAAACATTATGTTCTGTTAACTGTCAGCTGACTCCAAGGTTTTACGCACAACTCCAAAGTAAGGCTCTCTACAGCATCTGGACACATATTAGTTTGTGATGGCTTGGATGTTCCAGTTCAGGAAGCTAAATTGTCCCAGAGCAATCTGTATCAACAGACTGAATGGTAAGTTGTTTAGCTTCCAAGAAGTCACGTTACATGGAGGAAAGCTGGGATAGTTTCAACGCAGGTAATTCAAGCAGAGCTTGAACTGTGAGGCCAACTTTCACCAGACCCCTTTCCTCCAGTATGTGATGAGGCAAGCAGAGTCTTTCCTGTAAGATAAAGTAGATGTTTTAGGTYGATTCGTTTCTTTCCCAAGCTGGGTAACAAGAGCATTTTCTCTGATGTCATATATACTTCAGTACTAGGCATATGCAAAGAAAATGGTTTCGATTTTGTGTGTGGCTCTCTCTAGCAACAGTTTGCTCAGAAATCAATTGCAGCTCTGACCTTAGTTTGAGGATGAAAACTTCAAAGCATGAATGCATAATTGGCTAAAAGAACATTTAATATGATAAAACTAAAACCAGTCATCTTTCAAAGCTGGGTTGCTAAGACCAAGACCTTCAAATATTGTAACAATTATCTCACATCAGTTCTTCTGTTCTTTGCTTTACAAGGAAGTCAGTATCATTTTTATTCCATGGAACTAATTAGAAACCCATAGGGATGAATGCCACGCTCATGTCCCCRAAAGTCTTGCCTTTTTTTCATACAATTAAAATGTTCCCTGATCAGCACTATAAACACTAGGATCCCTGAATTTACCCACAAAAAACGCCTGCAGTACTCAGAACGTATATTCTGTTATTACTGTAAATAAGCAGTCAGTAAAACAATTACTATACCTGTGGAACGCCCAACTTTTTACAAGCATCAAGGAAGTTTTCAACGTTTCTTCGGCACTTTGCCATGCTGAGTTTAGGCTGTAAAGACAGGATGTGAGATCTTTGTCACACCTTTGTAATGGATCACATACCTCTGATGCAAACTCAGTAAGCGTTGCTAAAAAATAACTAGAAAAAGCAAGTTTTGGGAATACTCAGTTTTTGACAATTGTTCTTAAACCAAACTTCTGAACCTTGTTTCATGTTTCTTGAAGGAAAGGTGAAGGTAGCCTATTAATAGGGTAAACATGATTCATAGTTTTAACAGCTTATTCTTGTGTGAGAAGTTTTAACAGCTTATTCTCATGTAAGATACAATTAAAAGTGAGATAAATGATTTACCACTGCTGGCGATGGTACGTGAATGCTGGCAACAGAACGTGGCCTTATGTGATTGGCTAAATGGCAAAGAACGACTCCATCCATCAATGCTGCTCCAATATCATCTGGCAAAATTACTTTCAACCTTGATTCGAGATTCTGTTAAATAAGGAAAATTCTACAGGTAAATCACTTTCAACTTYGGGATAATTTTTAATTTTAAATTGAGAAAGCATTGCTTAAAAAGGTCATGCTAATCCAAAACCRATATAATTCGATTCTCACTCTGCTGAGTTCAAATATCCTTCTCTTTATATTATTAATCTTGTGAGCTTTTTTCCTGCTCAGTTTTTTAATGGCACAATTAGACACACTGAGAAAGAGTCTGACGGTTACTACCATAGTTCACAACTCTCAAAACCATGTATTGAAATAACCACACACACTAGGAAAGCACAGAATTTAAGGGCAGAAATGTCCAGCTATGGTTAGACTTGATGATCTTGAAGGTCTTTTCCAACCATAATGATTCCGGGAGTCTAAATTACACACAGATTTACCAGAAGAAATAAGAGGGGAAAACAATCAATTTAGGCAGGGCTGTTTCATGTGCCAAGTGATAGATAGCCAGAGCAGGAAATGGTGGCTACAAAGGTCCCACACTTGTGTTGCAAGGCAGAGAGGAGAGGCAGAGAGTATCTTTATTTTTATCCCATTCTAACAACAAGTCCTCACGGATCAGGATGCGAGCCAGACAGAACAAACAGCCTGTGCAGAAATCACAACCCTAACAARCATTACCATGGAAAGCAAAGCTACTACCACAGCATTTACCATTCGCAATGAATTTACACTTAACTAAAATTACTAAATATCTTGAAAACAGAGCTGTACAGAAAACAACTTATTGGAAGTTTGAAATTTAATAGTATGATAATATGATGTGATGATAGGTAAATCATAGCAAGATTCTACACACAAACATTCTAGTATTCAGCTAAAACAATATTGGGTTCCCTTGGACCAAAATTACTACYAGTGTCCTCCGGGGTATAAAGACACCCCAATGATACCTTTTGTTGGGATCAGCAAGAGTCACAACCAACTGTGGAGCTTAATTCTACTGTAACTGCCTGTTGTTAGATCAGTGGAAAGCTCCATCGCACACAATTTCTTGGAAAGAAGTATCACTGCAGAGATGCCCTAGTACAACTGGAATGATTCCCAGGCCTTTACTATAAAGAGTAATGGTAGTACAGAGCAATTTAAATACACTGCACCCAATAGCTTGAATCTATACACTAAATAAGGGTACATACATTGCGAAGTTGTCTTATTTGTTCCCTTTCTTCCCTTAAATGCTCCATTTTCCTTCGCATTGTAAATCCGGGATCCACTGCTCCATAGTCCTGGCGAGATGTACGGCTAAAAGCTGTGGAACATCAGAGAACTTAGTTTGCAGAATTTAGCTTAACRAGAGTGCAATCACCAGAAATCCACCAACAAGGACAAAATGAGCACGGAAACAAACCCTGCAGAACTTTTCTGAATGGATCCTATTCACAATTCTAAGGAAAAAGCTGCTCTCTATAAAACAAAACTTTCAAAACATGTGGATCATCTTACTTAACTGCAAACCTGTAACTACAAMATATGGAGGCAGAATACACAAATCTGTTATCTATGTAATTCCCTTTATACACTAGTAAGCTTATCCTAAAGCTTAGCTTTGTCTGTTAAATAYTCTTTATTATATACACACATTACTGATTTTCAGTGTCAGAAAGCTTTTAATATGATCATTTTCTTCTTTAATAGACTGCTGGCAAACAAAAAAAAAAAATTTGCAGCCATTCCATTCTATTCTAAAGTATTCTAGCCTGTAGTTTTAAGCAAAAATTCCAGCATTCAATTCTTCAAAACTTTCTTGCTTCTAATAGTCTGGAATTTTAGCAAGAAAACTTAATGTTGAAGATCTGGGGATTTCTTCTGTAACACAACAGCTTTTGTGAGAGTGTGAACTCTTCTCAGAACTATGTCAGGTCAAAAGCAAGGCTTAAAAGCCAAAGATTTTTGCTCATGGCCAAGACATAAAATGCCACATGTCATTCAAGAACAGAGGGGTTCTGAGAGAGGTTTTTAGAAGGGGGTTGCAGATGTGAACTGGCAACAGCTGCTAGGAAGTCTGCTGCTGTAGCAGTGAACTGAACTAAACTAAAATAAAGGGTGCAGGAAAGTGGTAATCAAATCTGTACCTTCCTGCAGCCAAGGCTGCAGATAACTCAAAAGCCTCTAAATGAGCCTGGCTGTGCTCCCCTCATACATGCAAATAACACAGCTCTCTCTAGCACAGAAGTCTCACTTGACTGCTCAGAAAAACACAAGCAGTTAAGGCCCCTGATGGAGCCACCTGCATGATCTTAGCCAGACATTCTGTACTGAGGGATAATGAGGGAGTATCACAGAGGTCAAGTTCTAGTATCACTCATTCCGTGTGTTAACAAACGGAAAAGCTAAGACCATTTTTCTTAATGATTTTCCTGAAAGGCTTTTCCAGTTCATACTACTGTTCTCTTGAAGGAACAAAGATTGCACTGTGACCTTGCCAAACTGCATTTTCCAATTCAATATTCACATTGACAGTTCCACATAAAGAATACAACACCAGATTAAAAAAAAAGAGAAGTGTATTATTCCTTCCCAGATTTCAGAGGAATGAAAATCTGCTTTAGACAATCCCATCTGACACAATTATCTGACGGGGGACTGGCAGACTCTGAAAGATCTGGGCACAAGGCACAAAGCCATTAAACTGGCACAATGCTGCTCCATAAATCCCYGGAGAGGACAAATTACAAAAACCTACTTCTCTTGAAACCCTCCTGCCTCAGCCATCAGGTCTGAACAACAACTGCACGCTGTCCCCTGTTCTTTGYGGGTGACTAATTACGCAGAAAATAAATTAATGAAATAACAAATCATTGTGCAACTTGGGCAACTTTCAATTATTCGTTTGCCAAAGCAGCTGTCATTGACTTTCTCAGCACTATGCTGTGATAAGCACACCGAGTGCATGGCTGTGCTGCGGCCTCTCTTTGTATTCGTTCCAGTTCCTGCATCTGCTGCCCTTATTGTCCGTTCCAGCCCAGGGAATAAACATCTGTTCTGTGCTGCTATGTCAGAGAAGAGCAGCTTACCTGACCTTGGCTTGAGACCAAACGGACCATGAGTGGTACTGTCAGTTCTTTCATAATCCTGTTAAAAGAGAGAAAGTCAAGTTTCTTCCACTCCAACAATTAACTTTTGTTCCCATCAAAATTATTTCTGCCTACAGTAAGTTCTTCTACTAAGCAAAACTTAGTATGAACTTTTTAAAGAAATGCTTACTCTGAATTTTTAATGTCAATTTTTTTCTCATGTCACGATCCGAGAAATGCACTCAATTTGATATCTACACAAGACTTCCTTSTTTCTAGTCATTTAACTGTATTTGAGAGATGCTCTCCTCATTCTGCTCCATCAGCTTCCCCTTCTGACATTAGGTGAAAATGAGTATATTCTTTGGAATATTTTATTCAGTTTTGCACCCACAGTGAGACTTGCATGGATTTTCCTTAGAAAGGRAAAAACACCTGAAGAATCAAGCTGTGAAGATGCAGCTCAGAGATGAAGACAGAATTGTGAAGGATGAAACTGCTTAAAAAAATCTCAGCATCTCTGGGTTGCCTATACGAGGCAGAATACTAGACCACATGGTACTTAAAATCTTCTGAACGGCTAGCTCATTGTGGACTCCTACAAACCATGCTAAATTTGATTTTTTTTTTTTTTGATTTCTTAGTTATTTTCATTTAAAAGATAATAGAGACCAAACAACGGATTCTAACAAACCAGTTCAGAAAAAAAACCAAAAACAAAACAAAACCTAGAAGAGATCAGAGAGCTGCAAAGATAAAATAAATTGAAAAAAATTAACATTGGATTAATATCTGTCTCTGATTCCAATTTATATGATTTTTTAATTAATGGCATTTGAAATATTTATAATTTCAGTTCCACAGGAAACTAACAGATTAATATTTGTATGGGAAATCTGATGACAACAGTAATGTGCACAAAAAATGTTTGTTGAATGARAAACAAAACCACAAACTTGTACCTCAGACGACACAGGAGACTGTGGGGACACATTAGTATTATCACTGTCTTGCTAAAAAGAAACCAAAGAGATGAAATTATAAAATGAAAACTRTGATTTAACAAGAAAGGCATGAAATTATGAAGTACATACACTATATATGAAATATGCAACATCTGTCAAACATGGTACATTGGCAACAACTGAATTTAAAACATACAGAGTCAAGTTCTGCTCACTTTATGTGTGATATTGCTTTTATATTACCTCTGATTGATAATTGAATTGACTTTCCTATTATTGAAGTATGTAAATACCCTCCTTTGCTTCAATACATCATCTTATTAACTTTTTTTTTCAAATAGAGGAGTGTAATTCTGATTCTTCTATGTTTATATAGTTTGTTTTATTTATATGTTTATAGTTTTGGAAGACAAAATTTGCTTGCATAGACTCTAGCCAACATTCTCCTGTTCCATAACTGCCTCCTAAGTATTCATAATACACAAATGAATAAAAATCTTTATGTATTTTATGCAGTTATCATTTCTCACCTCATCATTTTCATTTCCACTCGAACTCTTTCTGGAAGACTTATACTGCAAAACACACACAAATCTTATTTTAAAATTCAAGTACAGTTTTCATTTGAACCAAATGGCTTAGTATCAGGCAGATGCTGTTTATTACTGGCAAAGTGGAAGAAAGAAAAAAAAAAAAGAAAGAAACCAAAACAACAAAATTGTTGAAGAAGGAGAAAAAGAACATGTAGTTCCTAGGCTAGTCAGGAACTTCTTTGCATTCAGAGGGTACATATATTTCCAAAATAATAAAATACATACTGTTACACTGTTAACTCTCACTGTATACATATTTGATCCAAGCAAACAGAACTGAGCAATTGTTACTCTGCACTGTTCATTCTTAGCAAAATTGTATAACTCTAAAAAGTTACAAGAGAAAAAAAAAGCATACTTCAAAAATATTTAAGATCACTTAGGACTGCAAATGAAAAAGGGACTACAGGAAGAAATTTACAGAAACGGCACCTATAAAAGCAAGCTATTTCATTGTCTACATTGTCATACACTACRAATTCACAGAGAGAACTAGTCCTATCACTACAAGAACAAAGACATGGGGTACGTGTGTTCAACCAGCCTACCTGTTTTTATGCTATAATATAAAGTACACGGTGGATTAAAAGATTGTAGACCAAAATAGGAAGAAGGCTCTTCATGAGAGATCCGACTTGGGTGATGCATGCAGGGTGCAGTTAAATGAGTTTAAAAAAGATGCGACCCGCAACTATGTTACCTAAGATACATTAGTAAGTATATAAATACATAAAGCTGTATTTATTAGTTACACATAGAGGGTACTCCTCCTTTTCAAAGTTCTAACTCTGAGCACTGTTCAAGTGTTTACAGCTCCATATTCAAGCAGGACGGCGTCAGGATGCAAAGTTTAACTATTAACTGGCAAAATGCAAAAACTCATTTTGGTTGATAAAATGATCTTCAGTAGGAAGATCATTTCTTCCTACTAAATAGAAAAGCTATTTCTTTGTAAATAGCTAGAGCAACCAAAAGGTTTTTTCCAGGTATCAGCCATGCTTCTGTGCCATGCTGCAAAAATGGGTGTGCAGGTTCTCATGGGCACAGGYATTTTTCTGCTCTTCTGCTGAGTGATAATGCTGTAACATAACAATGTAAAATTTCTACAATAAAGACAATTCCACGTATTTCTGGGTGCAAGTAGATTGCCATAAGGATGCTCACTGCAGCAATGAAATATGCATTCTTAAGATAGTCTTTCACATTTGAACTCATGTTAGGACACGGCTCCCTAAAGACCAAGAATATTGCTCATGCATAGCATGCTCTGCTTTTCCTAGAATTTAATTTGTTGGAAATTCCCTAGCATTTCATGAAGGCTACTGTTTAGATGTTTGAAGGCAAAGACCCAAGACAGTCATTTCATAAACCAAATAAATCTAATTTCAACTCAATCTAGCACTGGTCACAAGTATTCCATTTCTCCACAGGGTGAAAATAAATGTTATGTGACAATGCAGCAAACCTGAACCTGTTCTGCAGCAAGCAGACACTGACACCTGGTGACCACTGATACACACTGCAAACAGCAAAACAACTAATCTGGAGTGAATTTCCCCTCTAAAATATAAAGAGCCAAAATGTGCAAGTAATCTTATGCTACATAAAAAGATGATGGACATTTTCCTTAAATGTAAACAAAATCCCTTAAGTTTGACCCAAACTGAAGAAGAACCGAAGACCAAAGGTTAGTTTCTGGCTTTACTAGAAGATAACTACAGATGGCTTGCTTTCAATAAAAGAATGAAGAAGAAAGCATTTAGTGGATTTTTCCCTCTGGTTTTCCTGCATTCTGGCCTCATGTTGCATACAAATAACATTCGCAAACTCAAAAGAAACAAATGAAAAGCTAATTACATGCAAAATTTAACTTCATTATAACAACTCATAATAACTAAACACAAAAGTTTTGGTATTGACAAAAAAAAAAACCTTTCATTTTACCTTAAAATACTCTTTTCTAATTTGTTTACTTCTCCTCCTTTCTTCATTCTGCCAAATCACTGGCTGTGTCTCTGGCCAATCCACTGCATCTTTCTGGTTTTCCAAGGGCTGCAAGTTTCAGAAACATTTTTACAGACCAGCTAAGTATACAATTCTGCATTAGCACAAATCATTATAAACTAGAACTACAAGCTGTTTGGCTCTCTCATAGTTTAGCTTTATGACACAAAAATATGCCTAGTCTCAATGATGGTCCAGGTAGAAATCACTCCCTCCCTTTCAGATGCTAAAAATATTTCACACAGGAAAAGGCATCAATGAAAATTAAAACATTCTCTTCAGCTAATGCACTGAGCCTGATTTTCACAGGTCTATTAGGAAACCAATTAAAATTACCATAAAGAACTGCTTGTAAAGCCACTTAGAAGTGTGTTTAGTCACYAATGCATTTAATTTCTGAATCTTTGTATCAACTGCAATGGAAAAGGATGGCCGTTACAAGATTACATTTTTTAAAAGTACCTGTTTACTGTTCTTATCTAAAAGATAATACACAGCAGGGTATTATTAGCATTATAAAAACTCTTTAGAACAAGCTGGATAATACTGTACTTTGAAGGAGACAGCTAAAGATTTATTCATAAAACAACAATGAATATGTATACCTATGTATACTCTATGAAACATAGAAGTACCTAGTCCAAAGGAAATATTTCATAATAAACCCAAGACAAGCAAAAATTGCATTTCCAAAGATTTTTTCAGTTTAGAATATGAGGCCATATAAAGCAATCACAAACAACTCCTGAATTAAAATGCAAACCAGTAATAGAGTTTTACTGCACCTGCAATACAAACATAGTCCAAGTCTAATTGTCTTGAAAGTGTAAGGRAAAGTTTTTCATAGGAAATAATGAAACTTTTACTATGCTTTCTTACTGCTTCATACAGTTTCACATTTAGACACTTACCTGCCAACTGTACGGAGACAATGGAGAATTCCCTTCATCTGCTGAGATACTAAAAATTAAGATGACAGGCATTATTAAATTTCCTTACTACATTTCCATGTACTGTAACATTAAGTTACTTTAAAAGTCAAAATAAAGTGAACACAAAATTAAAATGCAACTTCTTTGCAACACTATAATACTCTGGCTTGCTGCATAATGATATTACAGACTGTGGCTAGAAAGATGACAATTTGATTAAAATCTCAAATAGCATTTTACTCTATTGCATGCTGACAACCCCTCTTAAATAACACACTTTATTAAGCAAAGGCTGTATCTGAATAGTGTTGAGGGATCTTAAAGCAATCACTAACGTACCTTAAACACTTTGCTTCTCAAAGGGGTGACCAAGTATTTTGCTCAAAGTTAAGAGCAAGTATATTTATTTAGAAGAGCTATATACTTCACCTCACTGGTATTGCCAAACAGTAATATAGAGGCTTTTACAATTAAAGGAACAAATATTTTAGGATACAACACTGAAATTGCGAAGTTTCAAATATATATTGAGGAAACAAGGACAGTGCCTGAACTTGGTGTCACTTCATTTCTTCTGTCACAATCTTTTCGTAAAGCTCACTTCTGTCCTCCCTACCTGCAACCATTTCATTTGCATCCTGACAAYTGGGCAGAAAACAAGGTTAGCAGCTATCAGGTGCATGAATAAGTGACTAGGTGGGGACTGAATGTGATAAGCTCCTCACACCTTCAAGAACTCTAATAAATTCCTAACAGAGAGCAAATCAGCACATGATGYGAGACTGACTTTATGTCCATTATTTCATATTCATTTTCTTTCCCTTTCTCTGTCATTTACACCAATAATTGTACTTTTTAAAGCTCTTTGGCATAAGAAATGTGTCCAAGTGATGTCCATTACCCTGATAAACAGTTTGGTTAAGAATTCCAGGAAGTGCTGCAACAACTAATTCAAGCCTGCTGTCGAAACATGGTTGTATGTAYTAACTAGGACATGTTTTTAGAAGATGAAATTCTTCACGGGTGTGACAGTCTTTCTATTCTGTTTGTATGTACCTTCCCCGTGACTAGGGTTCCTATGTATCAGTGCAATGAAATAACAAGAAGTCTGTGACAACTGCCTTGTACACACGCTGCAAAGAAAATTAGTTTTGTTGTTGATGGTTTTTGGAGTAAAAGAAAAAAATTTAAATCCAAATCTCAGAGCCTTCAGGATGTCCAAAATGCCACTGAATGCCTATATTTAGGCATGTGAACTGCTTCCCAAGTCAGACTCGCATGAGTTAAGAAATTTTTCCTTAAGAAAGACCTCCTTAAGAAATTTTTCCTTAAGGAAGTCTTTCTTAAGGAAAAATTTCTTAACAGTGAGAGTGACAGAGCAYTGGGACGGGCTGCCAAGAGAGGCTGTGGAGTCTCCYTCTCTGGAGATCTTCAAAACCTGCTTGGATGCAGCCTGTGCCACGTGCTCTAGGTGACCCTGTGTGTGCAGAGGGGGCTGGACTTGATGATCCCTAGAGGTCCCTTCCAACCGCAAGGATTTTACGATTCTGTGAGCTTCTATATGCCATCAATTTTAATGGCTCAGAAAACMACCTTTGGCTTTTTTCCTGAAAGAAGCTAGAACTTCAATTTCATCTTCAGCTAAAAACRACAGGACAGAAGACAGCAGGACTGATATGAAATAAGCATTAAACAAATAAAAAATAATACTGAAAGCTGTGATATAGAAAAGTGTATTAATACCATTTTTCAGATTCCGTTGGCTGCTTTGGTCTGTTCCTTGTGCTTACTGAAGCTGAGTGATTAAGAAGCCTGGAATGAAAAAAAAAGAAAAAAAGTCTTTATTCAAGAGCTTTGAAATTAAAGCTCTCTATTGAGCATACGGTACTTTCAGAGAGTCACTTTTCCTATAAAGAAAAGTTTTAAACATGAAAGTAGCATTTTTCATAAAATTATAATGCATATATSAAACCCAAGCCCAATCCTGTTCACACTGAAGTCAAAATGCAGTTTCCAGCTCTTGCAATATGTCAAGTTTTGAATTTTAAGCAAGGAAAACCCGATCATAATCCAAACAGAATGAAAGCTCCTCTTACTTTTCCTGGACACATACTCACCACCTCAGTTTTTCTCTCACCTATGGGAAGTTACGCTGCCCTCAMCACAAAACGCCCCACAGTTGTCTAGAGGAAGAGATGATGGAACTAAAGTGGACAGGAAGGGATACAGAGACTGAGCACAAGAAGTTAGTCAGACTGCAGGAGCGGGCAAGAGGATGCTCAAGTGCAAAAACACTGCAAGTGCAAAGGAAATGCAGGAAAAGAGTGAGGAAATGGAGACGTGTGGAATGGGATTTATGGCACAGACCAGTAAGAGAAAATACTAAGGCAGACAGAAGCAAACAAGGCAGGAGCGAACCATCAAAAACTCCATTTTCCTAAAATATCAACTAAAAAAAAAAAAAAAGCCTGAACTTGAATATAAATTTGTAAATATTTTCTCAAGTGAAAAACTCCTACCATGCACATGTACAAACAGGAAGACCTATACTACTTACTACAAATGCTTAAAACCAAAGGAAAAACAAACAAAAAAATCTCCCTTCCCCAGAAGGTCAGAGATCAAACTAATCAGAAACACTTTTTCAGTTACATTAAATATCTTCAAGCAATTCTCATGCTGAACAGCAACTAGAACCATTAATTTTGAATTCTAATGTTAAACTGAACAAAGAACTAAAACGATTTGATTAAGGATCAGGAAAAAATGGAAGACCAGCAACTATTAGTGGGTGAAAGTAAAACAGACATTTTCATTTTAGATTTCATTATCATTACAGAGGGCAGTACAATAGTTGATTTTWAAGGATCAATGATGTTCAGTCAGACATTTGTGGTTAGCATGACAGCTTTGAGCTGAGTAATCTTATTTTTAGCTTAGATCTCTGACTGCACAAACCTCAATTTAATGGGATTATGACAAGCTAAACCTGTAAAACAAGATAATTTGTGGTCTGTAGTATCTGCTCCTTATAATTTATTTTCAGAAAGTTAATTCTGAGAGTGCCTTCAGGAATTAAATTATATTACACACAGAGGAAAAAAAAGTTACAAAAAATACTGAGTGCATAGGATGCAACAAACATCATAAAAGAATGTGTTTTTGAATCATTGATAATCAGGGAGAATTGCCACTTAAATTGGGCTTATCASTGCAACTGAAGCCAAAGAGATATTCAGAGAGATCCAGTGGCAAGATACAATCCCTAGAATAGAAAGAGCTTAATAAGTGAAAATTGGATTCACCTAAGCCCCATCACTAAAACTGACTGGTCACTACTTTTTGTAAAACTTTTCCAATTACATTCAAATACATTTTACTATTTTGCAAAAAAAAATTAAAATTACAAAAAAATCCTATACTGAAAATAAGTTCAGTATATCAGGTGAGTAATTACTAGTCCAGGCAGAACTACAAATTTCCTATGGAAAAAGAACTTTCATTACGAGTTCAAAAAAACTGTAAACACATACATTAATAYGAAATTACAAATTTACACAGACTAAGGAATTGAATGCAAAGTAATTTGTTTAGCTGGAGGAGAAAAAAAGCAATCTAGCTGCATTAAAAACATAAAATTTTAGGAAAAATAAAATACCAAACTGTGTACAAAATGGAAGTATACATGGCTCATTCTAGGCTCTTAAGCACAGCGCAAATGGTGCAAAGATGCCAGCAACCATTTCTGCCCAGAAAACATCAAATCCCAAATTTTCTGTATTGTTGCACCAATCATCAGCCAAATGACACTTGTTTATGGTGATAYTTAATCCTTAAAAAACATGTAATCATAACACATTAGTGTAAGTAATTGCATACTTACGGTTCACATCAATCACTGAAATTCTGCTCTTATATAATTACTGTATTCTTTTGAAAAGGTTACGAAACTCATACAAACTTGAAACATAAATTACTCAACAACACACACTGTTCCTCGTTTGTGTATGCTCAATAAAAATCAACATTGTGACTCACTTCCCTGTKTCTCCTAGTCATCCAAGTATAACATCTGCTCCAAAGTGCTGACTAGATGGGAAGWAAAGGTGATGGCAAGACAAACTATGTTATCAGGAAGTATTTTCCAAGGTTTGAGAACTTAATAAGTGGAATCTCTTCTAAACCATCTCTTTTGTTTGCATTTCCTGAGCAAATATAATATCACGCTTAGGAGACACAAACGAGATGAATGATGCTAATTACTTTAAGGACAGCTGCCTCCAAGTTTAAACAAGTAGAACTATCTGGGACCTATGAAGTGTGCAAGGACACAATAWCTTTTACAGTGAGACAGAAAAATAACTCCTAGCAGATTTTAAAATCAAGAGTCAAGATTTTGCTCCTTGAAAACTGTCTCCTGTCCTCACACAGGGCTCATTGCTTTGTGACAGTCAATGACTGCTGAGTATCAGTACTACAGATTTATGCAAAGCGAAGCCTCCCTACAGAGGGTTATTTAAGCTGAGCTTCTGTACTTTACGTTCAAACAGATCAGGAGCATTGATAGGAGGGCTAGAGTTTCATCTGACATGGTGACAAACTTTAAAATCACTTGACTCATCACATAYGTGTCTGATCACAACCTATACAGTCCCATCCTGGATTTCTTGTCTCCTGTGAGTTTTCTTTTTTCATCTGCTCTTTGCTCTCTTTTGGCTGCCAAATACAAAACAAGCTGCTGCCAGTTATGCTAATTTGAAAGTTATTACTAAAATCAAAAGCTCTAAAAAGCCTCTTGCCTGAAGTTCTGCCCTGGAGATGCTGCATTTTCATATTCAAAGTCAATCACTGGAGATAAAACATGCCAAAGGTGATGGAAAGCGAGCTTCTAGTTTGTCTAGTTTGAACTGCTATGGGCAGCCTGTCCAATAAAATGARCCATTTTTCTTGCATTTCATCTTAACAATAAAAGCATTTGCATCTRTTTGTTATTAATAAAAACAAAACCAAAAAACTTAGGCTAACTTAACCAGGTCCTTTAGACTGTTTTTGTCCCAGAAATGGACTAAATTGGTTCTTTTGTTTGTATTTTAACTTTGGAAATCTGAAGATCTACAAACACTATATACCTTGATGCACGTCCTGCCGCCCTTGTCCTCTGGAAGAGTTTTTCACTGAATGAAGTCCTATAGCTTAATGGCCTTCGTCTGTATTCACATTTCATGTACATCAAAGCCAAAGACGGAAGAAGGAAGCAGGACAGGTTGATGGGAGAGGACAAGGAAGTCAATAGCATAGCAAGCAAAAAGAAAAGAGAAAGACTGCATAATATTAAAAAGAAAATACACTGAATGAACAGAAATATGGTTAGTAAGATATTACTTTGTGATGCACACTCTGCTGAGAATTCCATTCACATAGGCAGGACTGTACATATTTTCTACAAATAAATTCAGGAATGTCTTAATTTCTAATACTATTTTTATGGCTCTTCACAGCAAAAAAATATAAATTCATGAAACTATAGATTCACTAAATTACACTTTACTAACTTTAACTATGATTTTAAATTAGAAGCCAATTTGTACCTCAGCATTTAATGATGAATACGTAAGCTTTCAAAATAAATTCTAAATCTAGAAGCAAAACTCAACAAATAAAATTATGTATGTATGACCAGTTTAATAGCAGAGCAGAACCATTAACAAGATAGCTATAATTATGTTTAACTAAAGTAAAATTGAAGCTGCAGTACTTGAGGAGTGGCTTGGTACTTCAAATAACACCCAGCAAATATTAAGAAGGAACGAACGCCACACGTAATATAAACAACCATCATAGAGAAGCAAAGATTAAGAAACAATAGCGAATCTCCCTCTATTCATATATTAAGTAATATAGGAAAAAAGGATCCCTTTTTGGCAGTACTTCTAGTAACAAAAAATCCTCTTTCTTGCTCTGTTTTCCCTTTTAAAGAAATTTTCAGTCATGATGCCAACACAAAGTGAAAGAAGTTTGATAGTTTATCAGGGTGAATACCCATGCTATCAAATTCTGCAGTTACACACTCTGACATTTCACAGATGAACAAATCTCATCAGGCCACAGGAAACGTGGATGCAAGAACTGCTACCTAAATTACCTTTATTTTGACACTATACCCAGCCTCCCACAAACAGGTTCAACAAAAGATTAAGGCAAGATAATGTAAATACCTCACTATTAAGCTCTTCATACCAGCATCATCACTCACGTTTACATAAATCTACATAAACAACTTCTTYGAGGGGCAGGAGGGACTCAAATTAGAGGAAAAAAATAGGAAAAAAAAAAGAACAAAAAACCATTCATCTCTTCCTTCCACACGATGTATGGAGCTGCTTTTCAACAGCAACTTTAGGTAAAGAAATGCAAGATACGTATCTTGGAATAGTCTATTGATTAAGCTGTTATATAGCTGAATAAGACTGTTCTCAAAAGTGCATGAAGTATCAAGAACTTTTGGGCAGAAGAGAAGTTAAAGAACAAACTAGCATATAAGTTATCTAACCTAATATTGTAATACCTGTGTCTTTGTTCTTGCTGCAGTAACTGAGCTGCTATTTTTCTCAGGTCAGTCACTTCTTTAATTTCATCATCCTCTTCAGCCAGCAGCTGTTCTTTCTGAAGTCTAAAAAAATTAAACATTACCTCGGCTTTAAAGCTTACTGTCTTCTTATGATTATGGAAATTAAAGCACATTCTTCAGTGAAGGAAGACTGAAACAGGTATGTCACTGAACAATAAATGGTATACTTTCCAATAAGCTTTTTTCTGTCCAAGTAGGATTACAATGCAAGTCTATAGATTTCTTTTCTCCCTATGCAAGGAGAAAAGCACCCCCATCTGCCTCCCAAAAAGCAGATTTTTAAAATTTTACCTTTTTTCATCTCCCCACTCCTCATTCCGTTCCGTCTTCTGGGTTTTCTCAGGATGTTTCCTCCGCTCCTTACAGTGAAAAATAAATTTAGAATTCAATTGAAAAAAAAAAAAAAAAGAACTGCTGAGCAGCTTTTCTTTAATCAAGTTAAGGCACCTTCATATAAGACAGCAATGGTCCAATCTGTATTTCTCCTTGCTCAGGAACAGCTCCCTCTTCTGCGTTCGGATCAATATAATCATACACCTCCTGGTCTAGTGAGGATTGATGAAGAGTGGAAAAGATAACATTAAGCAGTTCTCTGAACCAAGTGTTATTCCTGAGAGAGAGAAGTACTTATGAAAAATGTCAAATAAAGAGAAYACAGTGAAATCCTGTCTCCTCTATCCAGAGAAGAATTTTTCCCTCTTTCYGGTCTTGTGTATTCGTGATTTTATGAAATTGTTTACCGAGATGATAAAAATACAGTTCCAACATGCCACAGTATCATTTTGTGCAGTTTTGTTAAATTATATTACCTAAGCAACAGTATTTCTGTTACCTAAAGTGACAGAAGTACAACAGATATTACCTTTCTGCGGATCGAGTTTACTTCCCACTACATGATTGTCATTCCTTAATGTCTGTTCCCTTGTGGATTCTGATACCTGGGAGTGAAGGCTGATTGTGTCATCATCAGATGGCTGCAAAGACAGTCATACTTAACACAAACTTAACATATTACTATCAAAGTCTTTTGTTCTATAGCACTTGGTTGTAGTACTATTAATTACAACTGGCTAAATTTAGATCTCTACAAATAYATAAATACGTTGTGTGGATTTCTGTGCATAACTATAAATGTAGTAAGTCATTTAGAAGTTCATATTAAAATTTAAACAACAAAGGACTACTAATACATACAAAAACTCAAGTTTAGTGAAAATATATATCCATTTTCCTCTATTGTATTAACAGTAAAAACAAATGGCACATGCTTTGTTCTCTCTTTAAACCTTAAATATATTATTTCATATCTGAAAAAAATCTGAACAACTCCTTAGAGTAGAAATTGATTTTAAAATGTCTAACAGTGTGAACTGGAATAACCTAAGGATATTCAAGATGATGATGGTTTTATGTCTGTACTGCTGAAATTTAAATTCAATGACACAAATTCCTGAAGGAYGTAACTGCAACTTAATTAAACCTTTCTAAAGCGATGTGAAGTACAAAGGGAAAAAAAACATTCTATAAAATTTACAAATTTAACAGTGAATAACACTCACTTCTGTTGTTGATAAYCTTTTATCTCCATTATCACTTCCAATGCCAGAGTCCGGTCCATGATTCTTATTGGGATAAAAGTCCTCCATGCTATTTAAAAAAATATGAATTAAAGAAATTGTATTAAAAATGTATAAATTCTTCCAAAAAAAAAAAAGAAATATGTTCTATAGTTGCTGCAACAGATTTTTTGCACACAGATGAGAAATTCCTCAACTTCTGAAAGAAATGTTTAGAAGAAAAAAAATCCCCACTATGAAAGAAAAGCTAAAGATCCACAAAAGCTATTTCATTGGCTGGTATTATTTCCTATTGKCAGTAAGCATATTCCCTACGACATTGTCACATTCTAACAGTTTAAATCTGCTTAAATAGATTTTCTGTTTTTTCTCCTCTAAATGCATGCCTTCCACAGACAACCAATGCAGCAGACAGGAGACACGGTACGCTACTCCAACTGTGCACTGTGGAGCTTGGTTTATATTTATAATATGGCAAATGTATCAAACAAAACATCACAATTACATGGATGTTGTTCAGCAGTAACATCCATGAGTTTTCCTTTTCCAACCCATTTTATCGCTGTAGCGTGAAGTYTGGTGCAGATTTATGGGGAGCATGTGTGGTGGACCAGGGCTTCTAGGGACACTCAGAAGCAGCCTGTGGACACTGTAAGCTTTATTCATAACTCAGCTTGCTTTCAGCTCTAAACAGAAGGATGACACAGGTTGAACATGGTATTTTAAGCAGATGGCAAAAATAGAGCATTATTCCACGTGGTGTACACTGGCAAGGCAGCTGAAGACAGGAAATAGAAAATCACTCCCACTCAATCACTCCAGAGAGGTATTGAGTAAAAAAATCAAGCAAAATACGCTGCATTTTTGAATTTCAGGAGTAATTCAATCAACAAATCCCAGATATTTCACTGATGTTTAAGTTAGATTCCATTAACACATGTTTGGGAGACAGACTTTYCATATACAGGCTAACTCTACGTTCAGCAATGTTATGGGAATGCAGCATCAATGTCTTAAAAAGCTGAGTTTTTCAATAACCAGAAGCTACATTGTTTTTGTAATTTTCAGATCTTGAGTGAGCATAATGAAATTTCATAGCAATGCCGACAGTCATTAAGCTTCTAATAACACAAACTTAGATAGCATGACTTCTAAATAAACAGCCTTTAAATTACTGAAATTACAGCTATTAAGCTGTAATTAACTTATTGTGGTACTTCTCTCCTGTTCCCTAAGCGCCACTTCATAGCAAATACTAAAATAAATTCAAAATAAATAAATAAAAACTACAAGACCTACCTGTCTGTGAGTGGCTGGGAGGGGATTCGTTTACCCAGTGATGGAAGATCCAAAGAATCTGGTTTTTTATCTATTCTGAGGCACGCCTGAATGCTGAGGAATTTAAATATATGCACTTTACCCTTCAAACATATCTGTTTGGAAGCAAAAGAAATATTTATTACACATCATGTTTTTTAATGATACACCCCAATTAATGCCTTCTACACTGATAATTTAATGTCACAATCTTGCACTAGGAAAAATGCATCTAGAAAAATAATGAAAACTTAATTCATAGTAACTTMGAACAGCCCCCCTTTCTTAAAATCCTAAAGCACCTAAGCAAAATATAAAATTTCTATACTAACCTGTGCTGGTGGTATCTGCATTGGATTGTTATCCAAAACAATTACTTGTAAATGACGTAGTTTCCTGTAACAAATTGGAATTTCTGTAATTTTATTACAAGAAAAATCCAGCTTTACCAAGGGAAGGTCTCCTAATTCTGCAATGGAAAAGAAAAAAAAATCAGGTATCTGAACACTTTACATAGCTCACCTACATGAAAGAAAGGATAACAAGAAGCTTACCATCTGGCAACATATGGAGATTATTTCTTCTGATGTTTAATTCTCTAAGTGACTGTAGTTTTCCTATCTGCTGGGGAAGGACCTGAAGTTCATTGCAGCTAATATCCTATGAAAATAAAATGAATATGTGAATTGAACAATTTAAATGAAATTAAATGAGAGCTGCAGTTAAAACTATTATAAAGCATATCATAGAAAAGAAATCCTATCTTCCTTCATYTTTACCCTTTACAAGTGGAAAAGGTAACACACACCTCCCTATTCCTTCACAACTTTGGCCATTTGTCTTTCAGGAATTCAGTTGAAAAAGGTAAAACAATAAATTTAGATTTATACAGTTGCCTTGAAATCAGGAGAGTCTGGTGCAGTTCTCATGTCAGTCAAAAGCTTCAAGGGTAATTGCATGTAAATGATTCGGATTCTGTTCCTTTCGTAAAAATTCTCYTCCTTCCTGATAAAATTAGAAGCAGTGCCACTAAAAATTTACAAAAGCAATAGCATGCTCACCAACTTTGGGGTTTAATCACTAGAGGGTGACAAAGCTGCACCGAAGCAGCATAGTTTACACCACTTCTGCCACAAACTTATTTTTGTGTAGGTAGTACATACTGCATCAGCAGTCATATTGATCTCAGGCAGTTCCTAATCTATTTTATTACTAACTCAGGAAAACTGATTTCGGTGACAAGTTTCTTAAATGTAGGTAACAAGGCTGAATTTCTCGATGAAAAAAAACATAAGCCAATTTTGAAGCCTCGCTCAGGAACAACCAGAATCGAGGTTAATGAGAAAAAAAAAAAAAAAAAAAAAACCAACATCACTTTCCTCCTTTACCCACTCGCAGAGCTTCGGCACGGACCCTGCTCGTGTGCTCTTGGCATTAGAAATGTCTGCACAGAGCCAGATGTCTGAAACTACAGGTTGCCTGCAATGAGCTCTTGCAGGAGCTATTTTGAGTTCTTCTCTGTTCCCAGCACCCAGATTAAAATAGGATTCCTTCCCTGAAAKCATCTCCTTGAGAGCATGTATTTTTAAAATATAAATTATGTTCTAAAGAGGTACAACACAGATATTACAATTAAACTCTTTGGTAGGCTTCTAATCTTATCATTAAGCACATACTCCAGGTTTAGCAATTATGAAAGAAGTCAGCAGTASCACAACTGCAATTCTATAAGATGTTCACTCTCTGTAAATAGCAGCAACRATTCCATCTTGAATTGCTAAAACGGGGAGGTGACTATTAATTTCTTATCTATAACTCACCAAAAGCAGTAGAAAACATCAAAAAAAACTCAGAAACATTCAACATATCTCCTATTAATGCCAAATTACAACCTAAAAACTCAGTAACCAYCAAAAAACACCGTTATTAACAATACACAAAATAAAGGCTCAAATAAAATAATGCAAAGAGCAGTTCTGTTTCTGAGGGAGGGATGAACTTATTAATCTTTAGATAACCCAACATACTGATTTGATCAAACACCGAAAATGAATTTACATTCTGCAATCCCTTATGTAAAAGCCATCACGATTGTACATTTATCTTACATTGTAAGTAGGCCACATATACTTTAAGTGTTCTTAATACAGTGCAATTATACTTACCAATTCCATTAGGTCTCTCAACTTCCCAATTTCTTCCGGAATGGAGACCAGCTTGTTATTACTGACTACCAAGACTTTAAGTGGAAGATCAAACAGGTATTTTGGCAACGTTGATAAAAGATTTCGACTTGAAAGAAACAAACAATAAAGGCTTGATTATTACATTCTCTTTTTAAGCTCAACATGAGTCTGAGGTGCACACTGTGGAACATTCCTCCTGTTCTACAAGGCACCCTCCACCTATTATAATTTAATCTAAATTTAAGCTATAATTTCCATAATGAATTCCTTACCGGATAAAGCTTCCCTTAGCTAAGCTGCACGTCCCCATTTCACTTGGTAAATGAGGATGTACTATAACTGAATCTCCTAATAATAAAATGTACACACAGAGAAATCTGTCAAAAGATTAAAAATAGCCTGGTAACCTATAAACAYACCTGCAAATAACAACAGTAAGAGCTCAGGGTACTCTAACTYGCCTTCTTGAAGCTCTGTGGAACGGCACCTGGCTGCATTTCCTCCACACGATGGAGAGGTGCAGCTCATCTAGCACCTTGTCACCAATGCTGTCACTCTAATTATCAATATTACATCTGGGCAGTAACAAATCTTTCACCAATATTAAGTCAACATGGAACAAATACTGACAACAGGACCACATTACTGCTGAATTAACTATGGCAGACAAYATTCGGTGCATCTTTTATATTCATTTTTATGCTGTTTCTGGTACCTTCCAAAGGACCAACTGATCTGATAGTCTTTCAATATAAACTTCATGTTCTCACCAAATTGGAACAGGAAGGGTTTATACAAGATCACTGCTTCTCACAGCACGTAGCCACAGCTCTCCTGAGCCATTATCAAAAGCCCTAAGCATCTATTTATTACTTTGCTCAGCAATGGTCTAGAAGGTATGATTTAATTAACGTTAATTTTTGCTGTGTGTATTATTTTCCAACTGCACGTACATACACCTGCTATATTAACAGGGAAGGTATTATTGCTGGCAATTTAATTTAAATTGCTTTCATAACAGCTACCAACTGCAGGCTGCCTCCTGCCAGAAATTAGTACTATTTTTTTTCTGGTAAGCTACTTTTATAAAAAGCCACTGGAAAACCAGCTTGTTCAGATGTGGTATGAAAGCAATTGCTTTCACATATAAAAACAGAATCTTTCCTGTAATTTCAACAAGTGTCCAGAMGCCAAAGGGTCTATTTTGCAAGAACCTTTTGAAGAGCTGACGTTRGTTTTCACAGTATGTTAAGAAGAAAAGCAAAGTTTTAAAGTGCCTCTGTGTAATGGAATTGCATCAGAACATTGCTTTCATATTGAAAACCTAAACTTTTTCAATTACCCCTCTACATGCATATAGTTTATATGCAAGAATAGCAAAACCACAACCTGGAACTTTTCAGCTTTGAAATAGTGCAATTTTGACAAAGCTAGTTAAYAATAAATTGCTATCACTATCCTTACAAAGAGCAATGCATCTTTGCATTAGGCTGTAGGTTTTCAATAAGCTTTCTTGCTTTTGAACTCAGGCAGATATAACTGGCTGTTTCTGTCTGGTAATCTGTTGGCATGTGTGGAAAGCAAAAATGTCATGTACAAGTCAATGAACTTTTTTATTTACTTAGAAACTTTGCAATGAAAGTTAATTTTCTGCAATGACTTAGAACAGTTGCCCTTTAAGCCTCCTTTACAATGTTGCCTATTTTACAATGAATTGCATAACACTTTTCTTTGCTCTTCTGCATCCAAAATTAGAATTTGAGATCATGTGGGTTTTCCTCTGTAATCACTGTACTGAAACTAGTAAGTCAGTATCTTGGTCTATGTTTAGCTACTGCCTGTCCATGTGTGTGTGCATTCTGAAAACTCAATTCTCACACACGCTAACAGAAAAAAAGTAAGAGGTAAAAAAAAAGGTCATTAAATGAGCCAATCCTGAAACAACATGAAATGCTCACTGAGAATCAGATGTTCCTCTATTTTTGTATCAAGAAATGTATTCAGCATTCAGTTACCATCAACACAGACTCATGCTTTTGCTGCTCTGTGAAAGAAATTAGGTCAAGTTTCTTTCACAAAAGATYGCAGTTTTATCATGTCATTTAAAACCTCCACAGAGTAGACTATTCTTAGAAATTAYCAGCATAACTTCTGATATTTGGAGATTAAGAATTATGGTATATTTTTCTTTTATTTTTCCTTTTCTTTTCTATCAATTCAATTTCTAAAATTTCAAATTACTTTTTGAATTGATATTGTGCAAAAACAAAAGTTATTTCTGGAGCAAATATGTTCAATAGTTCTTCATTGAAAAGACTGGTTTGGACTTTAATCATATAAGAAACAAGATATTGTGGAGCACGATGTCTCAGCTATCATGGAAAGGTTCCTCTAGAGTCCCATGCTTCTATACATACACATTATACCTTACATGATCTCCAGCAGAGTTCATATCCATTTACTATTTTTTCTGAGAAGATTCAACTATATGTTTCCCAAGCCTAAAATAGCAATGCATATGACTAATGTACAAAATGAGTAGGTCCTTCAGTCCAGAGTAATTTATCTTCTTGCAAACAACAACAACAAAAATCTATATACGTAGCTTTTAATCACACTCTACCTGCATAGCATTAACAAATTAAACTYCCAAGCTTCCTTGTGGACAGAAATCCTACTGTCAGAAATCTCATGATGCTGTCAACTCCTTCCCACAAGGAAGGCAACAAGAACTCTTGCTGCAAAAAGACCAAGAATATGGCAAGCAACCAAGAGAAATATTTTTATCTGTCTAGGGGGAAGTAAGGGCACAAAGGCTGTTGGTGTCCTGAAGAAATAAGATGTCATCTCTCCAATGAAGCACAGAAGAAAGAATGACAAGGGTTACTCACCTAATGTTAAGGTAAGTAAGCATTTGCAAATTTTTAATAGATTCTGGAATGGATTTGATGCAATTGTGATACAAATTCAAAGTTTCCAGTGGTGCAAACAGCCAGACGTCAGGTGGAATTTCAGTAAATCTGTTCTTTGAAAGATCTGAGAACAAAAAAAGAAGTAATTTTTAGTAAAAAATTTGTCCACCATAGGAGGATGTGCAAATACCCAGTTATTCCTGTCCCAGTCCTAAAAATGAAGGTGTTGCAAGAAGTCTGAAATAGCCTCTAGCAAAACCAAGGTATGGATGCTACTGGATATAATAATCACAGGAAACACACATGAAAATTCTGTATCAATTCTAAATAAGAACACTTAAACACAACTGAATACCAATTACGAYTGCCCTTTCTCTATCAGTCTCTGTTTTGTACAACTCTGAATTTTTTTTTTTCCCCACTTGAGGCACAACAGTGAGTCACAAACTGCAAGCCAGGTAAACAGATTAATGTAACTGTCAAGAACAGCAAAAGATTATTCTAATTCCGCTGTGTGAAACGCCTGCAATGATAAAACCAAACTGGCACAAAACGCGTATGTATTTATTCAACTAAAGAACTACAATTCTTACCTAAATGTTTATTCTTTATCCTAAGCACAGTTACTGGTCTGTCCTCTAATTTCACATTCATAACTTAGCTTAAAAAACAATAAAACACACACAAACCACCGTCAACCTTTTATAGCTATGAAAATAAGGATGCAGCCTAGACTAGGAGCAGAAGTGGAGGATCTTTGACAAAGGAAACAGAACACTCGGGCCAGAAGTATTTTGATGGTGCATGACTGCATCATGCAAATCTGCRTATTTCCAAGGATGTGATTTCTCAGAAACTGGACATATTGTTTTAACAAAATGCAGCAAGGAGTTTTGATTATGAGTCGTTAGCAACCACATAAGAATGACTATGTTTCTGCCTAGGTACCATCACACTACTTGTGAAAGAAGTATTAAATTTTGCTCTTTTTCTGCCTGACTAGAGATGCAGAGTCACAGGATGGTACAAAGAAACACCACTTTCCAGTGGCATTAGCTTTGGAAGCAACAGCATTCAGTTTGCTTCTTAATGGCYAGAACATGTGCAATTTGAGAGCCAACTGGCTGTCACGCCACCACTGAGTTATTTCTAAGAAATATTCTCAAGCATAAGCACTGCAAAGCCATCAGTTTCATCCAATCGGCCAATTATGGAATAATGCTGACACTGAATTCAGCAAACTTTAGCTTCAAGAGTCAGGAAGAGAGAGTCCAGGAGTAGAATTCTTAACGCACAGAGTGAGAAGACCTCAGGACAAAAAATTAACTACAATGAAACATCCAACTAAAATTGAAAACTCTGCTAAAATGGTTTTAGCATAAATGGAGAAAGTTTTAAAAATACCRGTTCGATTTCTGCTTCCCAACACATTTCAAAACATCAAAGGAAAACAGCAGGTTTCATTTGAACAAACTTTCTGCAAAATCCTTTTCAAGCTGCAGTTGTGGGTGTTATGCAAAGACTAAATATAAGACACCATCAAGGGTTACTCAAGAAGCACAGCATGTTTCAATTCACTGTCTCTGCAGAAGCAACAAAAGCCAAAAGCTCACCGTTGCTGAGGTTAATTTAAAAAAGAGGAACTACAAAAATCTGAGGAACGGGGTTAAAAAATAAACTAAATTGCAACCGAAAGAGTGAAGCCTTCACTGACTGCATGGAGACAATTTACAGGCACAGTACTGGAGGCTCAGAACAAAACTGATTATGGAAACAAGAACAAGCTGGGATTTAGAGGTGGAGTTAGTGGAAGTAAGTGGGTATCTCTCATGAGCTTCTGYAAGTCATGTTCTAAAATAAAAACAGAAGCCTCTAATTTTATGAGGTTAAATTAAAACACAGTAATGCAGTCATAAAGTATTAACATTATGTTTAACATTTGTTCTCGCTCTGCATTTGTTATTTGTTACCATCAAAGCCACTGCCAGAGTAGACTGGTCTCTGCTTTGATCMAGGGCTCCATTTCCATCCCCGTTGGACCACATTCTGTACAAGCTAAATGCTGTATCTGGACTGCAAGGACTAGTTGAGATCTACACTTGACCAACATATCGTGACATGCATTTTCTTAAAAATATGCTGACCTACGACAGAATGTAGTTTGATAGTAAGAAAAACAATAGAAGTTTTTGAATGTGAAAGGAGGAACAGTCCTGGTGGGTTTTAACTTTTATTCAGCCATCAAACAGCAAGACGCATAGCTGAGATCTCAGGACTTCTGTGCATATTCATAAAAACCACGTGTTTCTCTGCCAATGATATGCCCAATATTTAACAGCAAAAGAAAGACGACAGAAAGATAGAAAATGAATTATTTTGGTCATTTTTTGGTGCAGGTTCAGTCATTTGATCAGTCCTCCAAAACATGCGCTGTCTCCTAATGCGCTATTAAATGAAACATTGGGTATTATTATAGGAGTGACCGTTCTCCTAGTAATATGATATCAAAGAATTTTAGTGCAGGACTGTTTCACATTAGATATTACCATTTTCTTCATATTGCTTCTCAGTTTCATACACTTCTGCTCCTCTGAGCCATTTAAAAGAAAGAAAGAAAAAGAGAATAAAAACTCTGCCAAGACCGTGGGTGGTTACAAGCTAATTTTTTTTCACTGGGTGTTTGACAGAGCACAAAATAGATTCTATTTTTGTGAAAAATACATTACAAAAGATCTAAGGTGCTGTTTGGGTTTCAAATCCATTAAATCAAGAGCTTGAAAATACCTACATTTTATCCATGTCACTAATACTAATTACATAGTCTGGGCACTGAATGTGACAAAAGAAACTGTACATGACCAAGCAACTGAAGATCTGCATAAAGCACAGCCAAGAACAGACAACTAGAAACTACATTTCACACCTTCCAAGTTCTTGACTCCGCAAACTAAACAGCACTACCAAACAACAACAAATAATCCTCTTTAAAATTGTATTTTTACCACGCTAGGGACTTGAACAAGCAACACCAACATCTGAGGCATGGCTGTTCCAACAGACAGTGGCCATGTCCACACGAGCTGCTCAAGCAATTCTGATTTTAATTTAAGGCACCTCTGCTTGCCTCCTGCTGGCTCAAACATATGTGTTTTTTACTGAAATTTTCAGTCATCAAAAACTGAACTAGAAGGTCTAAGTCAAACGTTGGAGCAATCAGGGGGCAAATGTGGGTGTCGACTTGCTGCACCCCAAGCACTGATGAAAACAGCAAATGAATTCAGTGAATTCACTGTGTGCAATCAGTGAATTCCAGGCTTTTCAGGGCACTGCAGCGTTCTGCTCCACCTTGAGAGCACGTAGGTTCAGTTACTTTAGCATGGGATGATGAAAACAAAAGTGCAAAGAACACACCAAGAGGAGAGGATCATTTGGAATAACATATACATCAGTCAGCTATATAGTTGAAGAGACATTACTCCATGCCAGGATTAGCTTCCCTTTCACTTCTAAAGGCTTCTTGCAATTTTGTTTCATAATAACCTTTCGATCAAGCCCCAGGAATCTTTTGTAATTCGAAATGCTAGGCAACAACTCCCACACGGAGGCTATCTGCTTCCCCAAACTAAATGGCATGTTAGTATTCTGTCTAGCCTAGGATTCTTAAAGCAGCTTAACATTGGAAAGAGTGAAATCTGTTTTCATGACAGTTCAGCAAGAATTTTTATTAAGCTTGTGTATTATAGCTCAGACCATCTCCTATTTAAATTGACATGACTACTTACTGGTTGCTCGCAAGCATTCAAAGACTTAATTCTGTTTTTTTCTTTTTTTTTTCCAAAATTTCAAATTTCTACTTCAAATTAGTTCAACTTTTTCATATAAAAATAACAGGGGAAAGTAATTATCAATCCATTCCTCTATGATGCAAATTTTGGGTTTATTACCAATACTCAAATGAACACAAATCCCCCAGAAAAAGCTTATGTTAATCTCTGTATGCTTGGATATAGACACAGCCTTTGCCTGAAGAGTTTACAATATACAGACAAGAGGCAGAGAAAGGGGCTACAGCAACGCAACTGTAACCAACATCTACTATAGGACTTAGACCTTCAGCGATGATAAAGTTAYTCACAATTGGATTAACTAAACAGAAATACTTAAAAAGAAAACTAGAAMGTTTCAAGACAAAGGACACTGGAAAACAAGGAGAGTGTAGAATAAAGCCGGGGGAAAAGGCTCTGTAGAAACTGGGCAAAACAACAGTTCATCAGTACAGGGCAAAAGGGGCTAATCACATCTACGACATTCTCTGGAGATACGAAGGCCGCTGCTGTAGCGACTTCAGCATCTGCTCTTATTTGTTGGTGCCTCCTGCTGACAGCGGCCGCCGATTCCAACCCATGCCAGCCCTCGTGGCAGCATTTGAGAGAGGTTGTGGCTGCTTGTGTTAGTTTAAAAGTAAATATACTAATATAATATCTCTCATTACTACACGTAATGAGCTGAAGTGAATGCTTGCCTAAACATTTTAGTCCTACTGAGCCTTTAGTAAAAGGTCTCGTCCCCTCTCTATTAGTTCTACCTACTAACATCGAGCGATAAAGTGACAAATTGAAGTAGATGTGTGTTTTAATACACAGATGGTCGGGGATCGGCGTGTTCTGCAGTTACATCTGCTGGTCAGCAGGCTACGAACAAACCTGGGAGGCRGGGTTCCTGCGAGCCTTGTGCTACAAGAATCTTTGCAGGGAAATCATACTTCACCCAGCAAGCTGCAGCTTCCCAGTGCTTCAGATGATAGTGGGGATAATCACACCTGCCCAAGCAATAAACTATTTTAGTTCTGTAACAGAGAATAAGGCTTTTTTTATTATCCAAAGTGCTACAACATTTGCCTGATCAGTCAGAAATCACTAGGCTTTTTCTGATTAACAGCAGTGCTGGTAGATAAAGTAAACCAGAACTTAAAGCTCTGCATCCAGTTACCTGGACCCTCATTTTTGTAGCAGCCAACAAATTCTCATAATCCCAGGTCAGCTGGAAGAGCAGTGAGAACAGACGGCGGGACGGCCAAAGAAAAGCAGGGAATTTAGAAGTCTCTCCACACTGCCATGTAGAATATTAACACAAACATAAATTATTCATTATTTTTCCATCTTCTGGGAAATTCTAGCCTTCAGGCAGTCTGTTTCAGTTACCTTTTGGCTAAGAACATGTTTTAGCTGTACGTGCCAGTCTTGCCAATAAAATGAACTTACACTCTTGAACCAGCTCTGAAAAAAAAAGATCACAAATCACGTGACAAGAAATCAAGTGAAAAAAATCAGCAAAAAAACCAAAGACTCATCCATTTTTGTTATGGCACATGATTTTGTAATATATTTCATCAAGTAAATACATTTCCCCCTTCTCAAATAATAAGCAACAAAGCAGGAGGGCAGGGAGGAGAGAGGCAGAAAAGACAGGAATTCTCTCTCTGGGAAGGACAACTGTATGGAAACCAATGTGCGGTGCAGCCAAGAGCTGAGAGTTCCCATCATCACATGAGAAACTAGATGACAAAAAGGATTGGGAACTACATGCATGCAACCTAGTTCTGCAGTTAAAAAAATCCTATGCTCTTCTCTACAGCTTTCTGCTGAATATGTTTGTGTTTATACATTCTGATTTGGATTATTTGGCAAGGAACAGGCAGAAAGAGCTATTTGCTTCGCATTTCTAAGAGGTATGTTTAACATTGAGAATACAGAGATTTCTCTTATATAAAACTGTTTTAAAATTTTAACATAATCCTGGAAATCAATCTAGATGGACACTTTCTTTGCAAAATAAAAGTTTGAAGCGGGACAAAAAGACCAACGGAGAAAATCTTTAGTTTAAGTCATCAGTTTTTCAACAGGCTTCATTTCTAGAATGTAATCTAGATTTATGCCATATAGGTATGTTATTTCTAAGCTAAAAAAAAAAAAAAAAGAGTTTAGCATTGCTATTCAGTCAATTGCTTGTCATCTCTTCAACCAAAATTGCTATCATCAACAAAAATAACTAACCATACAAGCAAATACATTGGTTTAGAAGTGGATGTTCTATATCTAGCAGTACAAATTAACGTTCTCATGCAAATCACACTCGGTTCTAATTTGCAGATTTCGTTGCTTTTAATCTGTAATCACATGAATGACTACACACTTAAGCAGGGCCAGAAACATGATGTAAAAATCAATGAGGCCATGTAAGTAAATCTAGACAACGGTATCTTAAACCGCAATCATATTTCTCCTCCAAATGACACATGCAGGAACCTCAATGTGGGAATTCTGCCCGTGGGGCTGAGATTATTAGCAGCCCTGGCAGGATGGCTCATTCTGAAGTCATATGGGGAATACATTGATGTTACTCCTCAGATATATGAAAAGGTAGCAGGTGGCTAGAAAGGAGAAATTCCAAAGCAAATATATTTATGGGCAATTCTTCACCTACTTGCAATTGCTTGCAGGTTCCTCCGCAATTAAAAAACGGGAATTAAATTTGTTGTGACAAATCGTAAGCAAGCTGGCCACTATACCACTATATATATCCTGAGTAAAGAAATTGTTTCTYGAGCTGTCAGTCTAATACTGTTCGTATGCACTAAACTCCCATTTCCAAGAGTGCTCACGAGGGAGGAGGAAATTGCAAAAAGAGTAAATTGACTCAGGTCAGCAAGGCAATAAAGCACCAGCACAGACCTAAAAAAACCTGGAAAACACAACTCTTAGCTAAATATAGAGAGATTATATCAATGTACTATACTCATTGACTTAATTGTCATGGGGATTAATGTTGCCCACAGGGGGAGAAGCAAAATTACACACATTAATAAAATGAATGGAATATTCAWATACCTCTTGATAAATCTCTGTATGCCTCTTAATATTTCATGACCTATGATTTTTTTCCAGAAGTTGTTTAAGAACAGCAGAGGCCTTGTCTCATTGGCAGATGACAAGTTTAGGGAAGAAGAAAATCAAGTTTCAAGAAACTGCAATTAAAATCCAGATCTGACAAAAGGTTTATCTTAATGCATAAGTGTCAATGATACAGAAATATTTTTTACATTCTGATACGTGTTGTTTTGTGTGGGGGAGAAAGTGGTGGTGGGGGGTATTATTAAATGCTTCTACCACAGATCTGAAAGTCTAAGAATTATTAACAACAATGTGTGTAAAAGTGAAACCCAGCAAATATTTCTGACTTCCAGATACGCCTCAGCCTACAGATTCTTATCTTGTCTTATTCAGGGAATATTGCAATGTCAAACAGCAGTAACTGATACAAAACGTCTGCTGAAATGTATGATGATTGCCTCTGAAGCAGCAGCACATTCTAGCCTAAGCTTTATACCATACTGATACTTTGTAAAGGAAATCAATGATTCTTCAGCAGGATACCATTTACCTGCTCATCCAAAAAATAATAATAAAAAAATCAATCTATGGATGAAGCCAAAATAAAGACTATAAAGCTATTGTTTACAGGCAAGTTTTAGAAAGATATCTAAAATCTTTATTTCAGAGTATTCATTCTTGAATCAGTGCTACATTAAAGCAGCACTGCTAYATGAATAATCTACTTGCATTCCCTACATTAACTATTTAATCCATTAACTATTTAACCCAGCTTCTTTCATACTGAAGACTCAATGGTGGTGACTGGACTCTACTACATTATAAAAGATAAAGATAATATTACCACATACACCTCTTACTTAGGTTATTAAAAAAAAAAAGCAAAATACAAACACAAAATATGGACCTTGATGAACTGGCTTGAGAAGGAAAGAAAATATATTTTTAATAATGGACTCCCTATATAAAATTCTTCATTTTTAATGTTTTATTTTTTGAATATTTATACACAGAAACTGCTTACTATGCTCTTGAAAATATTTTTTTGCTATTACAAGGAAACAGCTATCATTTAATGAACTCCCTCCTTCATTTAATCTGGTGCCTCCATTATAAATAATTAACACACTTCCACCTATCCATATTCTGCATCACACATACAGATGCATCATGTGTGTCAGGAAAAATATGCTAATAACCGAAAAATCATTAGCAGGCTTGGTACTGGATACTGGAAATTGGATTTTAAAATCAGTCCTTCACAAATTCTACCCCCTCCACAGCCTACTATATCACAGAGGAATCTGTGCATCATTATTTAAACCTCTGCATAAAACACACCTCACAAAGAGCAACAAAATGAATATTTGATCGACACCAGCAGGATGGGATTGTCAGAGACGGATAAGGTACCATAATAGGCAGCCTTGTATTCAGTAGGCCACCTACTCGTAAACCACTGAAAAATACAATATAAAAGCATATACCAAAAAAGCCCCAAAACAAAAACATGCCAGGACTTAATTCACAAAAAAAAAAAAAAAAAAAAAGGTGAAGCCACTACTATTTCTCAACAAAAGATGCTGGATCTCTCCTCAGTATTTTGTTCTAGCACATTACTAAAACGACCCATTTTCAGTGACTACCCCAGAAGCAAATAAATCTAGAAGTACTGCACATACGCGCCAAAACACAGCAAACCCCTAATGAAAAACACAGCTTTGTTTTCCCGCAGAGCATAAAGGAAAATGCCTCCAAGTTTACTCCAGCTAAAAGCCTGGGTAGCTCCAGGCCTCCACAGACAATATCTACAGTATTATTTATTTACCAAGATGGTGAATACGTTATGGGTGCACCWGGTGCACCCATACCCCTCTCCCTGCACAGGTAAGGCTTTTGGGATGGGCTGGGAAGAGGGAATCACCATGATCCTGAACAAAGCTCGGGAGCAGAGGCCGAGGCACCTGGACGGCCCAGCYGGAGGGCAGCGTGGAGCTCTGACGCCTCAGGCTCAATCCCGCACGCGAGAAGCGCGAGCCCTGGCCTTGCTGCCCCACGGCGGCACCCCCGGCGCCGGCTCCGTCCCCACGCTGTCCCCACACACGGGTGGGTGGCACAGGCGCTGGCTCTGGGCGCCCCTCCCCGCTGCAGGGGAGCACAAAGAGCTCCCTGGTGCGTGCGGACACCTCCACTGCGGGCACACACATACACACACATGTGTGTACATATATACACATATATGCACATATGTTATATAATACGAAGCAGGAGCCCCTCTCCCCGCAGACCCTGCCTTGGTGTACGCGCTCGGTGGCTCCTCCACCACGCACGCGTGGGCTGGAGGGGGGGTCCGCTCTGGCCCTGCACCCTCCCGCGCCCCTGTGACCACCCTGCACCCCGGCTGCCGCCCACAGCGCAGGCACGTCCTCCCCCGCACCCCTGCACGCAGGGGAGCACCCCCACACTGTGCAGCCCCCCCAAGCCTGGAGGTGACCTGCTCTGCACAGCAGAGCCCTACACATCCCCATTGCGTCCCCTCCACAATGGGGGGGACTGCCACCCCACTGCCACCCCAGCCCCCCACACTGCCACCTAACCCTCCTCACTGCACCCCCCACTATCACCTCAGTGCCCCCCACTGCCACCCCATTTCCCTGCCGCACATTCCCGTCACCCCAACCCCCGACACTGCCACAACCCAACTGCCACCCCAGCGACCCCTCACTGCCACCACAGCACCCCCCACACTGCACCTCCCCATCCAGCGACCCCTCCCCCGCACCCAGACCCTGCTCCCCCCGACCCCAACGGCCACCCCAGCGGCTCCCCCATCCCGCCCCGGCGGGGACCCCCCGCCCCCGCGCCGCCCCCACCTGCTTGCGTGGTGTCGCTGAGGTCGTAGCCGCCGCCGGGGAAGTCGCGCAGCTTCCTGCCGCTCAAGCAGAGGATGCCCGAGCTGCCCGCCTCCTCCAGGGCCCGCTCCAGGCTGCGCACCGTGTGCGCCTGCGGCAGCGTGGCCGCGCCCCAGTGCGGCCCGGACGAGAAGGAGAGCGTCAGGTGAGCGGGAATGCCCAGCCCGCCCGGACCGTTGTTGCCGTTATTGCCGTTGCCGCCGTTGCCGCCGCCGCCCCCCTGCCCGGCCGCCATCTTCGCGCCCCACAACAACAACAGCCGGGCGGCCGCGCCACCCCGCACCACTGCGCAGGCGCCGCGGGAGGGGCGGGGGGCCGCGCAGGGTGAGGGGCGTGGCCTCGCCGCGGCACGCACCAATGGGCGGCTGCGGCGCGCGCGAGGGGGCGGGGCCGGGCGGGGGCGCGCGCGCGGGAACGGCGGGGGCGCGCGCGCGCCTCTGTGAGGCGGGGCGGCGGGAGCGCGCGCTGCTCGGCGACCCGCCGGGGACACGATGGGGTCTTCTGCTCCCCGGGCGTTCTTGTCCCTCCACAGCACTGCAATTAGGTGGTTTTCGGCAAAGTTGGGGTTTGCCCCTCGTTGTCTGTAATTTATAGCGACTTTTTTTTTTTTTTGGTCCAATTTAAAAATCATCTGAACTAGGTGCTTTTGAGCATTGCCTCAGGGCTTGTCATGAGCAGCACATAGCTGCAAAGCTGGTTTCTTTTTGCGGGGAAAAAATATTAAGTAAAAGGGGGAAGAATCTCACATGGTCAAACAAAAAGGGGAAAAAAAAGAAAAAAGAAGTGTTATTGCCCTAAAGTGAGAAGTAAAGGGGGGGGAAAACAAAACCCTATTACATTTAAAAAAAAACTACAAAACTCTCAAAGATGCCAATGTTTCTGACTGAAAGCGTGAACACAGAACGGAGAAACACTAATCAGAAACGGGCTTCACATATCCAGGCCCTTGCTACACTAATGAAATGCTCCATGGTGCCTGGAATACTGTATGGATGAATAATTATCGCTATTACCATGTTATCTGCACTCGTTAGGTGCTGCATATTTATCTGTCAGGAGTGACTGTGAAGCCATAATTAGGAAATCCTAAAGAAAAGCCCGAGATCCGCATTTTTGAGGCAATTGCTGCGGGTTTGATAAGCAGAATCTGATGTTGTGCTTTGAACCTCCTGAAGTTCCTTAAATGGCTGGGCTTTTTTTTTTTTTTTCCCCGGCATACATCATGAGTAATGTGGGGATTTGAGGGAAATTCCTTCTCCAAGCAGCACGGCAGCGTTTGGCCCTCGGCGAGCGCTGTGTCAGCGCGAGACAGCTGAGCCGCTATTAGGCAAAAGCGAAACAGCAACAGCCCCATAATAMTCTGTGGGTGATAGCTGGCCAAATTTCAATAGCACAGAATTAGCCAGGTTCAGAACAAGGGTTTGGAGGAGGGAAGGGTTTGATGCCGYGGTGCTTTAGCAGGATGGGGGCATCACGGCTGCTTTGCAGATTGCCTTTCCTGCAAAAAAAAAGGCAAARGTGCAAAATGAGTGTGTGGCAAGAAAAAGGTTTCTGTGGTTCTTGGTGAGTTATGCGGCTCTCTGCTTCATTTTATCCTTCCTGGGCATGTGTTTGTGGACCATGGGATTAAACCTGGTGATATCTACCAACCTCCCCACCCAGGGGAACACCTCTCCTTGCTGCACAGCCAGACTAGAGATGTGCAATGCTGAGCTCAAATTTACTTCCCTTATTGTAGCCTTCGTGGTCTCTCAACGCTTCTTTCCCACCTGCTGCTTTCTCTTTTTAAGGCCCTGTCGCAAACAAAAGCAGAATYACTAGCCCAGTGGCAAAGGGCTCCCAAAGCCAAACATCTGGTCACAGCAAGCAGTAAGGTCACTGCTGTGCCCTCTCTTAGTTTTTCCTGCAAACCAGAGAAAATGGCTTTTTCTTGTTCATAGGGCAGCTGAGATGAGCGCAGGAAGGGCTGGAAATGTTTGGAGCTGCACAAGCCCAAGAGCTTCTTGCTGCTGCACCAGTGTCTGTCCGTGCTTCAGGATACTGAAAAACAGCAAAAAGCCGCCACTCTCATAAATAACTTCCCCTCCGAAAGCCTTGTGGTTACCCACATCTGCTCAAGATGAGWTAAAAATTCATAGGAGATAAAAACTCCTATGAGATACGATATCAGGGAACTGCAGCGTTGGCCTATGAGAGGCATTCGTGCCCAGGAGCGATGAGATCTCCACAAAGGTTTGATCCACCCGGCTTTTGGTGGCGGTTGCAAGAGGTGGTTGCTCACAAGGCTTTCACTGTTGGCTTCGAGCGAGTGCATTCGCCACCCGCGTGTCCCGAGACAGCTCAGTGGCCTCGGGCGAGTCCACRTGATAAGAGCATCAAAGCGCAGGAAGGAAGCAGAGACACGAGCCCCCGGCGGGACGTGCGGTGTCTGTGTCTGCACAGAGGGCTGTGATGCCCCCAAATCTCCACCAGCAAAGCAAGCAGCTTGCCCCTATRCCCCTAGCTAGATCCCAAGGCAAACGCCACGCTCTGTGTGCTAAATGCCACCCTATTTGTCTGCAGCATCATTTCGGAAGAGCTGCTCGGAACCGCTCCAGCAGCTGGTGTTGGAATAGCAAAGGAAGGTTCCCTCTGGCTACTCTAGTGAGCAATATCTATTCTTAAAAGTCTTTTTGCCCAGACTACTGTAAGACAGCAGATCCATTAAGGGAAGATCCGCGGTACCTTTTCCATTAGGAGCATCTGTTCGCCTGTACAGCTGCGAATGCTTCACTGAGCACCAGAAAATACACGGGGGGCAGGGCAGCTCCTGCCCTCGAGGATGTAAATCCAAGTGCCGCTTATTGCAATTACATGCACCACAAATACCTCCTCGCGGTGCCGCTGGGGCCTTTCTCCTTTGCTGGCCGTTTTAGCGTGATTTTCTACAGGATTTTTCCTTTTTTTTTTTTTTTTTTTTTAATCCTCTTTTGAGTAGCTTGCTTGCCAGGCTTGGTTTTGGTAATATTAGAAATATAACCCTTTCAGTGACTCTGTATTTCAGGAATATAACCCAAATAGCTGTGGTGACCTTGGCCTAGCTAACTGTACACAAGATCATCAGTTGCCCTCTGTTTTAATGGAATTGTTTCCRTGCTATGGTATCCTGCAGACCTCCACATGCAGACACGCATTTTTGTGGGGTGATTTTGAGGATGTTCTGCATAGTCCAGAGGCAGAGCTCATGGCAGAGCACCCATCTGAGGGCTCATTTTTTAATGCACCCTGCACTCAAGGGGAAAAAAAAAATCCCTTCCCCTAAATACCTTATAGTCTTTGAGCCCACAGGCTGCATCTGCTAAGTGTGTAAGAAGCAACTCATGTAAATCTCCATTAAGTGCTAATAAGGAGGGTTTGGGCTGTCAGAAGCAGTTGCTTTCACGGAGCAAGACCTCACATGCACCCCAGTCACTTCATTGCTGTTCACCCTAATGCAAACTGGGGTCATGTTATCACTGCAGCTCAGCTTCTGCCAACAGGGAGAAATGGGCAGCGTCCAAAATTTGCTTTTCTCCAAAAGCYTTAAGAACAGTTTTGTTTGCATCTGTCTCACCAGGAAGATATTTTGCAAGTAGCAGCAGATGGTTAAAAAGCCACTTTCCAAGGCTGTGTACCAAGGCCACCACCAGCTTTGGGATGTGCTGGTGAAGCTTCATTGCTGCCAGTGTCCTCGGTTGGGACCTGAGATCAGCTCGCTGCAGTCCCTGCCAATTAACAAGCCTAAACACACCCTCTTGTGGGCAAAACCCAGAATACCAGTAAATCTCGGCAGGTTATTTAATGTGCAGAAGCCCCACGAGGTTGACCAGCAAGCTGCAAAGCCATGTCAGATAACACACCTGAATGCTCATATGTGTCCCCTGCTCCCACTGCCTTCTRTTTTTGTTAGTTCTCAGCTCAAAGTCATCAGTCTTGCTTAGAGCTGGGGTATGTGACAAGAGGAGAAGCTGGTAAACTGCCCAGGAGTGACTTAGCTGGGAGTCCTAGAGGAAAACGTGACAAATCCCAGGGTTTTCATGCTCTCCCTTGGACTGCTAGGAAGCCACGTTACTGAAATTCCTGTTTCCCAGTCTGCCTGTGGTTCCCAGCATGGTCCCCTGTATGGGGGTGGCACGTACAAGGAGGGTCTGGCACTTAGGGCCCTGTCACCAGGCCSCTGGTGCTGTTAACGTGTGACACTACGCAGAAGTGAGTTAATGGCAGTAAATGACCACTTACCAAGGCATTAAGAGGTCACCAACTGGCAGCTGAGAGATACTCAGCCTGTGTTATCAGCCAACACTGCCCAGACACACAACTGCTCCTTGCTGGGGTTTATCACATCCTCCAACCCCTTCAGGGAAAACAGGTCTCACCTGGCAAAGAGGAATCTGCTATAAAAGCTGGGCTGAAGCTGGAGACCAAAATCATTTGGAAATATCTTGGTCTGAACCCTCTCCCTGTCTGCTGCTAGCACCTTGGTCCAGCTCTATATTCCCAGCTTGGCTCCCAGCAGCTGAAACTCACCTRTCTGTAGTTGCTAAATTGCTGGGAAATTGCTAATTGTTCTCAAAAGGGAAAGTGCTTGGATGGTATCCTAGGGACTGGGAATTATGCAGYGTTATGAATGTGTGGATCCAGGCTAGGGCCTCCCAGCCTCAGTGAGGCTGGAGTGTTTGAGGAAAGGTGGAGTAAGTCCAGGTGGGGTGGTGGGTGCCTGGATGGGTGTCAGCACCAGCGCTGGGTGCTGGTGCCAAAGGTAGGCGCTGCAATAAGGTACTGATGGTGCGGGGAGAGTGCGGACCAGATGCCAGAACTGGGGATGGGCGCAAGGGCTGGTACCAGYGTGGGTGCGTGGCTGGGACCAGGTGCAATGCTGGGGATGAGCCCTGGGGCCAGGGGTAGGTACCAGGGCTGGGACAGAGGGAAGGATGGGTACCAGGGGCAGTACCAGTCCAAGATGGGTGCAGATGGGGGCTGGTACTGTGGTGGGTGCTGGTACCAACGCAGGTGCTGGGGTCGGTATCGGGGTGGGTGATGGTTCCGAGGTATAGAGGAGAGTGGGAGCCGGTCCCAGGATGGGGGCCGGGGCCGGTCCCAGGATGGGGGCCAGGGCCGGTCCCGGGGCAGGTGTAGACGGGAGCGAGTGCCGGGGTCGGTCCAGGGATGGGCGCTGGTTCTGGGTGCAGGCGAGTGCCAAGGCCGGTCCCGGGATGGGGGCCAGGGCCGGGGCCGGTCCCGGGATGGGGGCCAGGGCCGGGGCCGGTCCCGGGGCGGGGGCCGGGGCCGGTGCAGACGGGAGCGAGTGCTGGGGCCGGTCCCGGGACGGGCGCTGGTTCCGGGTGCAGGCGAGTGCCAAGGCCGGTCCCGGGGCGGGTGCCGGTGCCGGGGCGGTGCGGCCGGCGCCGGGCCGGGCTGGGCGGCACATTCCGGGCAGGCGCAGTGGGCGCGGGGCGGCGCGGGCGGCTCTGCGCGCTCCGAGCGGCCGCCGGGGCCATGGAGGCGGCGGCGGAGCCGGGCCCGAGCGCGGGGCCCGCGGCGGGGCCGCAGCCGGGGGCTGACGAGATCGACATGTCCCTCGGTAGGTGCGCGGGGAGCGGGGGCGGCCGGCCCGGGGCTCCCCAAGCCCGCCCGGGCTTCTCGGAGCGGCACAGCGCCGAAACGGGGCAAAGTCAGGAAAAGCTCCCAAACAGCCCCAAAAGTTCACGTCGGAGGCAGGCCGGGGAGCGGAAAGCGCAGGGGTTTGGGCAGGGCTATAGGCCGGCCTCGGGCCGAGCTCTGGGTGCTGCGCAGTGACTTCCGAGGGGAGAGTTACGTAAAGGAGCGCGATACCAAAATGAGGGCATGACCGTGCCCGAAATGCAGGCATGGCCATGTCAGAGCGTAGGCATGGCCGTGCCCCGAATACAGGCATGGCCGTGCCCCAAATACAGGCATGACGCGCTCCCGGGGTCACTGGGYGCGCRCGCTATTTATAGCRCCGTGCTCGTGACGCTGGACGTGTGTCTGGCCGGTGCCGCGGGMTCGGCGCATGAGCGGCCGCCCTTGTCTCGCCTCGGGAGGCTGCGGCTCTCGGAGGGCTGGTGGCTGCACCCATGTCCCCGCGGTGCAAGGAACGCCGGCCAGCACCTTTTAGGATGGCACTGGCTTCCTGACACAAAGCTGGAGTCATTTCTTCCTATGGGTGCGATGTTTCTCAGGATGTTTTTCACGGCAGACTCTGAGCCCATGGCTGATGCCGATTCAATGTTTTTATGGTGCCACGCTAGCCCGAACTCAAGGCAGGAGAAACGAGAACAAGAGCCCCAGTTTAAGTCATGCTGCAGGAATTGTCCTAAGGGTTCCTACGGAATTCTGTCTTGAGGGCRTAGGGGTACCTCATATGAGCTCCCTTCCAGCTTTATACAGTGATAAAATCCTAATATCACTCCAATCCTCAGCCTGTGGTAACCAAATAAATTGGTCCAATGCATTCTGTGCTAAGCTTGGTCTTTTGTGGGGCCCACGGGGCTCAGAGCACCACAAGCTCCAAACCTACGTGGAATGGGATGTGCATATTGGAAAATCTATGTGTGTAGAAGTGGGCGGTTTGATGGGTTTCACTTTTGCTGTTTTGGATCTAGACGATATCATAAAGCGCCACAAGAAGGAGCAGAGCGGGGCCCAGGCGTCCGGGAACCGGCGAAGGCAGCAGGTGAAGAACCCGAATTGGGTGTCTGGGTATGGGCGGCCCCGCTTCCGCGCCTGGATGCAGAGGAATTTACCAGGTACGGGAGCATGCGGGGACACACATGGAGCGCTGGGCACCTGTGAAGCTTCAGCATTTCCCTGGAAAACACGTTGGCATAGCAGGATCTAGCTCCAAAATCCTTTTCAGCATCWAATAGATGCTCTTGCTCAGAATAGCTTTTCTCTCGGCAACAATAGAATATCAGGGCCCTTTCAGAGCCCAAACTCACCCATTTCTCTTGCTTCCAGGCTCTTGTGAATTACTGATTCCGAGTGACTTRATATCTATTCTCTATTCCCTTCTGGCTTTGCATATTTTAATTATGTCTGTTCCTAATCCTCTTTTTTTTTCTCCCAGAACACACTTAAATTGCCCCTTCAGTAGCTGTCTTTGATAGCTCCGTTATTGAAGCTAATTTGTCATTTTTGCCAGCCATGCTATTTTTATAATTTTTTCTATGATACCATGTGATCACATAGTAATTTAGGTTCGGCTCCAGTACGTTTTATCCACCAAAATGATCTGCTGTATGGACTGCCACCTTCAATTCTCAAAATTTCTCAAAATTTCTCTTTTTTTTTGTTTTTAATTACTGCTCAAACACTTCCACTGAACATTTTGGTGGSTTTTGGCAGCAATATCCCTGCATCCCCCCTATGAGGCTCATAGAGAGAACAGAGCTGCAGGGAGCAAGTCCCACATGGTGGTTTTGCACACGTGCGTTCCCGATCCCAATCACATATTGCCTTTCCAAGAACAGCTCCAGTAGTTCCAACCAGAATACTCATATGATTTCCCTTTGCAAACTGATTTTTCTTTTTTTCTGCCAGAAAAGAAATAGAAGAGTTGATATTCTTCCCTGAATCCAGAGTTAGAGAAATCCAGTGGAATATTTCATTCCTTAGGAAATAGAATTTTTAAATTTGTTTATTTGTTTAAATTGGTTTATATTATGGYTAGTCTTGGTGTTCCATATGTTTAACTGGATTTGAATTCAGCGCTGGGACCAGCACTGATGTGGGACGCTCGGCACAGCCGGGAATTGAGCCTGGCATTCCCGGGGGGCTCCCRTTGCTTCAGTCCCTCCTGAAACGCAGCCCCCCTGGCYGGGATGTGATAACCGTTATCAGAAYGGGAATCAGCAGAGCTCAGCGACAGCCGAGCGGGGCATTACACTGATTACAACAGCGAGGGAATTCATGCAAGCAGAACACTCTTATCCCTCCTGGAATTTGGAATTTAAACTATCCCCCCAAGCCAGGAGGTTGATGCCCTCTCTGCTTTTTCATGACGAGAAATTCCAATTGTAAAATCCTCCGTGGAGAAGCTGTCRGAGGCCAGGGCTTCTCCTAGGCTGGATGTGCAGAGGTGGCACTTGGGCTCAGCACAGACTGCTGCATCCCAACAAGGTGAGGGGATTTTCCCCCCGACGCTGGGGATTTTGCTCAAATATCCCTTTATTAATAAACACCCTGCAGACTTTTGCAGCRTGTCGCGCTGTGAACTCAGTCTTTTGGAGCCGGGGCTCAGTCCCCAGCTGGCGTACGCGGGGTGTCCCTCGGAGGCTGATGTCCCCAACGTTAGTTATTCACGTGGGCCGCGAGCTGCCTGAGCGCACGGCTGAGCAGAGGCTCCCTAATGCGAACTGACTGCTGGGGACACGGTTTTCTAGCCAGGGCTGCCTTTTGCATCAGACCCTGACGYTGCACCAGGGAAATATCGGGCAGCTGAGCTCAGCCTGGCTTGTTGGGAAGAAAATCCCCTCCTCGGTGAGCTCCAGGGTGGCTGCAAGTGGGAGCAGGATGGGGAAAAACAACCTGCAGAAGCAGGCAGGAAGAAAGGGACATGGAGGCAATGTCTGGTTGCAGGAAATACAGATTGCTGRAATGTGGGTGTTTTTTCAGGAGACATTTGCTCTCTTCCTGCAAACCAAGCGCATCATTTACAGCGTTGCATTATCCTGAGTGTCACCTACTGGCACTTTCTGTTTCCAAGGGGCTTCCTGTGGGCATGCCCTGGTGCCTGTGGTTTTTTTAGAGCCCAAATTGGCCGTGTCACCTTTGCATCTCTGCCCTGTATTCCAGCGTAAGYGCCCTGTGCCGGTGCGAAACCGCGTTACGCCCTGGGGCTAGAGCCTTCATTAATCACTGCAGTGATGCCCCGTGACAGGAACGTCGCTGCTTCCCCAGAACGCTTCATTTCTAATTGCTCCGAGTCATTATGAATTGCTGTGATGTGGGAATCGATGGTATAGGATCAATACATACGTCTAACTGCTCTGCGGTTTATGTCACTGAGGTTCTGTAATGTGGTTTGCAGGGTTTCAACCACATTGTATTTCTGCCCTCTTCAATTCCCTGCTTTATGCCTTTTCAGCTGTGCCCATACTAATGATTTACATATAGCCCTGCGTGTATGTATGCACATTTCCCCGAGACAGATACTTGGGAGATGTCTGCTTAATTTTGCCTACAGAAGTTTAAAATGGAGCATTATTAAGCTGTAATGTAGCTTGCTTCCCTTGGAAGGACTGGGTGCTTTGCTGCAGAACACTCCAAAATCATAAACAGGCGTGGGGGGAAAAAAAAGTTGAACATAAGATGGGCCATTTGTATGTGCATATTGTACAGTTACTTAAAACAGCAGTAAAAGACACCTTGTCCAATATATGCAGCAARTAAGCAGATATCGAATTTAAAAAGCAAAAAGGAGAATAATTTCAGGCCGGTTTTTGCTTATCAAGTAGTATAGGGTGAACTATTCCAGACTGCTGTGGGTTGGTCTTGTGGATGCCTGAGACACTTGCATATCTGCATGAAAAGGCTTCCCTGTTTCACAGTTAATTCCCAGCCATGGCAGCGCAGGCAGCAGAGTGACAGGGCTCCTGATGCGAGGGCTGCTGCCTTTATCAGGGACCAGGCTTGTGGAAGGCTTCACTCTCCCCTTTCCTTTCAAATTAAATCATATTTGTCAGTTCTACCTGTAATAGCTAAGTCATGCTTGAGTGAGACATTGGAAAGATGGACCTTTTTTTTTTCTGCTGTTCTGTGTAACTAATGTACTTTCCTTGAAGAAATTACTGTGCTTCCTGCTTTAYTGTTCATACAGATACTTCTACATCATGTGAGTTAACCTTGTTAAGGCTTGAAAAACTGCTTTCTTAAATCAAGTGGTGAAGGATGCTCWAACAAGGGCTTCTTTTCCTAGGACCTACCCGCTTCAGGAGAGGCTTTGGACAACAGCAGTACAATAGGAGGCAATTCCGGAACGCCRTGCCCGGTCCCAGGAGAAGAGCAGCTGCTGCATTAAATGGAGTGAGCCCTTTAAATCGCCAGGCATCCGCACAAGAGGTGGGGGGAATAATGAAGGTACAGCTGTTCTCAAACGCCACGTTCAAATCAGCTCAATTTTATGATCCTGCATCACCCCAAAGAACAATCTACATAATAAATGTGCAGGCGCAGTCTTCTCTGTGCTCGCGCACCGCATTTGTATGCATAGGTGAGCACGGCACGTATACATACAAAACAGCAGTATTTCAGATGGGTTTGTAAGCTTGAGACTTGGTGAATTTTTTACCAAATCTGTTCCAATGGATTTAACAACAACAAAGATTTTAAACACATATTCTTAAAAGGTTCTTAAATACTTGCGTGAAGACAGTTTGCAAGTCATCTCATCTCTGTTAGCATTTGCAGGAAGTACATTAGGATTCACCATTTTTGTTTGTCCACACAGAGCTTTTTYCAAGGCCCACTGAAGTCAGAAGGCAGCCTGTCTTTGGCTTATTTTTAAGATCCAAGAGGTCAGGGAGAAGTGCTTGCCATTAAAGCAACTCTTACAGCTTCCTTCTGAGTATCTCTAAAATTAAATTGGCTTGGAGTAGAAGCTGGAAATCCAGCAGGTAGATAGTTCTCTGTGAGAAGAGGTGGTTTTTTTCCTGCTCTGGTTAAAATGTGCTCARTTAGCAGGTCACATATGCTCAGTGAGCTTTCAAAAAACCCAACAAAGTGGTGAAGCTGATGCCACATTTAATGACTGTCTCCTGAGAGCATAAATAAGAAAGCTCTAAACTGAGCATGCATGGACATGAAGTGTGGTTACTCCTGAAAATATAGACTGGGATGCAGGTTATAGACTGAGTGTGGCTGGATATTAACAGAACGCAATTAGTAGTTGCTAGGAGTTGTAATTCAATGGTAGCTTCTGTTTTGCAGAAATAAACCAAGCAGGAAGAACATGGAAACATCTTAGGGCATAGTAAGAGAGTGACGGTGGTTTTCCTGAGGAAATATGCTGGGACAGAGCATGGAGCAGCTGTACAAGTATCAGCAGCAGGACCTACACCCCGTCTCACGTGCTCCATACCCCAGACCTCAGTCCTGGCAATGTGCATGTCCAAATGAGAAGGACTCAATGACCTAAAGAAAACGAGCAAAGCCATCAAGTTTGGCTTGTGTAAAATTTGCACTCCACAGCCTTTTATTTTATYGGTATTTCTGCAGCGTTAGGATGAAATATTCTCCCTCTTACTTGTCTTCTCATGCATGGTAGCTGATGCACGTACACTGCTTGGTGGCAACAGTATATAACAAACCCAAATGTTGAAAAGAAACGCTGCTCTGGAGAAATATTCCTGCTGTAAATGCAAAAGGCCATGGGGGAGAACTGGTTCGAATAAATTTTAGTCAGGAGCCAGTSTCCCATTAAGAAAATATCAAAGGCAAGAAAAAAAAGAAAAGTATCAGCAATGTAGAGCATGCAACGCACGCCCTTGGAAACCACCTGGATGGTGCTGCAGGCATCAGTGAGCCATGAAGGTCCTGCTAGACTCGTGCAAAGTTGTGTGGAGCTGAGCATCCCTCTAGATAGGGGGACAGAGGATGCCCAGTGAACATGCCCAGGTTTTCAAGCAGCAGCAGCKGCTGGTGGGCAAGACATCGCCCTCCTGGTAGGGATGTCACGCTGGTGACCGCTCTGCTTTCTGTTATTTCCTAGGGCAGCAAGAGTGACGATGGTTTTGCCCAAAGGGGCCGCGTGGGGCAGCTGGGGACGCAGAGACGGGCACCGCCGGGCGCCAAGCGCTTCCGAGCAGCGGCTGCCGCCGGCCAAGCCACGGGGAGAAGGTGAGACCCTCGCTAGCTCCCGGGTTTTCAGCGATTTCCTGGGCACCCTTTGGGGCTCCTGTCCCGTCCGGAACTGCTGCAATGGGGAGGGCACGCGGGGCAAGAGGAGCACCCTAGAGTCCCTTAGGGAAATGCTTGGAAATAGAAAACGTGGGGGCTCACAGCTAGTGAAGCAGATGTCAGGCCCATCATTTTATTTTTGCTGTGATTTAATTGTATGGTATTTCTAATGAAAATAGATGAGGAGAAACAAACACTCTTGTTTCTCTGAGATTCTTTGGAGACAGAAAAACCTCTCGGGCTGAACTCGGTAACAAATACTCCAAATACCGTACTTATGGAACGGGCTTGAGGCTCATCCTGCTCGCTGACCTGCTCTCCTCTCTCCCACGCACAGCCGGCCCTTTGTGCTGAACCGGAGACCAGCCTTCCAGCAGAGACAGATGCCGCAGCGCTCCTCCAAGGGCAGCTTCCAGCGAGCGGTCAGTGTGGAGGCATCTTCTGCACCACTTGCTAAATGGGGCAGCCCTTTGGTTTGACTGGCACTTGCCCAGCTGCATCTTTTGCACCCAAAAGCAGCGGGGAGAGATGGCCATTTCTAGCTGAACATCTTCCTAGGGAATGGTTTGCAGGGCACGGCCAATAGCTGTTGTTTTACAGTTTAATATTCTGGCATCTGGAAAATTAAACTTGGATGGGTGAAAAGAATTAGCTTCTCTTGCAGCTTTTTTTTAAATAGTTTTCTTATAGCTTTCTTTTTCCTTGTATCTTTTACTTACTTTTACCATATGAAATACTTGAAAAACAACCTCTGTTTCTGAGAGGTGATTCTTTAATTGATTTTCTTCTATTTCCCAGCAGGCGGATGCAGTTGGAGAAGGAAAACAACCAAGGCTGAGAAGGTAATGGAAGAAAAAGGCCCGCTGCAAACACGACCCTCTTGTTAGCGCTTGGCTCAAAGCTGGATGCGTTTCTTGGTCTTGGCAGGTGGCAAGTGAAGCCCAGCCCCGGAGCAGTCCTCACGGTTTCTGTGGCAAATCCTCAGGCGAGCCAGGCTAGTGGGTAAGTAAATGAGGTGATTTGTTGAGATGGGGACCCCACAGAAGCCATTGCAAATCCCTTTAGCGTTGCTGCAGTTTTGCTGCTTTTACATTAGAGTGGAATGAATGGTTCAGCYGCAGAATGGTTGGCAAGTGGTGTCTCTTTCAGGCTTACCCAAAAGGAGACTATGATTGTCTTGGTGCTTGTTCATTATCTGGGAATGGGGATAATTCCCATTCCCAATTAACAGGGAAACGGGAGCGCTGGCAYGGCAGGCTGCAGGAGCTCTGGATGGCAGTGGGTGATGTGTGCAAGGAGCTGGCACCCAGCTATGGGGAGAACGAAGCGGGGCAAGGCCACGCTGGGGAGCCCTGGACACCAGGAGCATCCTCTGCTAGCTCTGACATGCCCAAATTCCCTGCGCTGGAGCTCAGCCTGCACCAGCATTTCTGCAGCTGCAAACAGACTGAGCCCAGCAAGCCCAGGAGCTCCGTGATAGCAATAGCGAGCGAGCTGCCGCAGCCCAAATGGATGTTCACCGAGATGCTTTTTCCCTCCCCAGGCCCGGATCCAAGCGGCCCTTCCTGCGGAGCCCACGGCCGCCTCCACGGCTGCCCAAGCCGCAGCCCAAGGGAGTGATGCTGAGGTTCAACTTCCGCGCCATGGCCAACCAGGTAGAGGGAGGCCGAGGGCATGTGGGGCGCCTTGCACCCTGCCACAGCCACGTCGCTAACCCCTTAACGTCGCGCTCACGTCTGCCGCGCTGCCGGGTGGCTTTACCTAATGCCAGCCGGCAGGAAAATCCCCGTGCCTGCTTGCACGGGTGGTTGCCAAAACTGACAGCGCCTGAGAAGACTGTCCAGCACCTACTGACTCAGCCTGATTTTCCCTGTGCTGCTGGTCCTTCGTGGTGCATCCTCACGCTTGCTTGCAGGAGGATGCTCCAGCTCCTTGGAAGTGGCCCTGGCCGGGGGAAGACCTTTCGCTGGCACTCTGTGTGCTCCCCACTCTGCAGGGACATGTGGCACCTCCTTAGGGCCACCTTCCTTCTTGGCCTGGGTGGCCTCTTTGGTGCTGCGTGTGCCGTGAGCAGGTCCTGTCAACCCTGCTTCTTGTCAGGATGGTTGGGTCTTACTTGACGCCTTGTGCTCAGCTGCCGTCTGCTTGCTCCTGTCCTTGCCGAGGATGCCCTGCGTCCTGGGGCTCCACAGCCCCAGTGCTGGGGTCCGGGTCCTGCTTGGAGGTTTTGCAGCCGCACGCAGCGCGTCGAGCGCCRTGGCTCTGTGTGACGAGTGGTTTTAATCAACTAACCGGCCGAGAGTGCCCCGCTCCGGCGGGGCTGCCCTTTGCCGTGGGACTGACCGCTCTCCCTTTCCCCCGCAGACCAGCCTGACGCTGGACGAGAGGTTCTCGGGTCTGCGGAATAAGCGGCGCTTTGCAGCAGCAAGGAGCGCGGGCCGGACGGTCACCATGCCGTAGCCCCGYGCGCCCGTCCCGGGGCTGCTCGTCYCCCCGGGGCCCCGTAACGCGCAGCTCAATAAAACCCAGTAGGTTTCCTCCTTCGAGATAGCTGCTTTGGCGAAGCGCCGTCTCCTTCCTTACACCCTGAGCAAGCAAGCAAGCGTGGCAGCAAGGGTGCAGGAGGGGACACAAGTGGAGCCCGCTTTGCTGCATGGCCCCTCCTGCAAGAGGAAGAGGGGTCCAGCCCCAGGACGTGCCCCAGGTTTGCATTACGGGCACGTGGAACAGATACCACCACCGAGSAGGATACCTGCTCCTCATATCCATCTTTCTAGTGCTGCAACCTGGCCACACAAGGGTTTTCCAATGGGCTGGATCTCACAGTTTTCTAGCTCATCCCTGCAGCAGCCGGGGATCTCTGCACTGTTTCCCACCCCCCGTGACCACCTGGGACACAGCCTGGTGCTGCACCCTCAGCTGGCACCAGAACGGTCCATGTTTGATAGAGCGCTTTACATTTTACACCGAGTGTCCTTAGGCTGGGCTTGGAGTGGGGAAATTATAGGAAGTGGTGAAATGTGATTAGTTTTTCTGAGCAGTCTTGTATGAGTCCAACGCACTGAATAAAAAACATAATTAAAAAAATAAAGTCAAATGTAGTGTGCAGTTATTCACCTTCCTTCTGCAGGAGATTGGGAGCTCCTCAGGCTGTGCCCACAGTTTAGCATTGCCAGAGCCCAGCAAAAGCCACAGGGAGGGGGATTCATAGGCATCTTGTGGCACCTTTCCTGGCCTCTTTTCTGCTTTTAGCATTATCAGCAAATGACCAGGGCAGATCTGGCTCTGAAGATCTCCAAAGCAGGAGCTCGAACCCATTTCCAGGCTCATTAACCTAGGAAAAGACATAATCTCTTAATGCAAACTCTGTACAGCTCACCTGGCAGCTGAAGGAGAAATGCTGCCCTCACAGATGGCAGCAGCTCTAATTTCAAGTGCACCTTTGYTGTAAATTTTGACAAAAGATGGCAGGCTTGGTCTAAAAACATGCAAACTTTTTGCATGAGTTTGCAACGGGATGGAGCCATTCACCAAGGAAAGGGAGGAGTGGGTGGCTTATTAGCAGGGAGCTCAGAACATGCCCTCACAGTCTCCAAGTAGCTCCTTTTCAGCAGTTTTGCACCTTATCTTGGTTTTAAAGACTCCTTACAGTAAAATTGAGCACTTAGTGATAAAAGCTACATTTTTTTTTTTCCTCCAGCTTGGTTCTCCCAAAGGGCATAATTTGCAAGGTGGAAAGCACTGCCTGCAAGGGTGGCTTTTCCAGACAAGCTGTTTGTGCTCCTGTGGGAYTTAGGGATGGGGGACAGGTTTGGGCAGCAGGAGCAGTGCCACATGGGCAGGACACCGGTCCCCTACCCAGAAGGTGGCAGCAGCCTCCTGTCCATGGAGCCCCGAGCTCCATGGACACGGGAAAGAAGCAGCCGCACAACCTGCAAAAATATAGTCCTTTTGTTTTATTTCATTTGTTGGGATTTTCCTCCACTCCTGCTCTTTATAATTTGCTTTGGTCTATTTGCGTGTGTCCCTAAATGCAGCATTGCAGGAYACTGAATAGTCTGATCTTAGCTTCTTTAAACCCTTTGCAATTATTAGGCTGGTGCTACAGTCTCCCTTKCCCTTTTCTTGGGGGGAGAAGAGCTTTGGTGCATCCAAGTGTCAGGGAGCTGCTTCCTGCCTCCGACTGCTTCCTTGGTCCCTTTTCCAGCTCTGTTCTACCTGTGATCACGGGACAGGAGTGGTATTTGAGCTGGATTTGGACCGGGGCTCCGCTTTGTTTTCTGTTCCTCTCCTGATGATTCCACACATTCCAGTTGCTTTTTGACCCAGAATAGCAATTTGCAGGAGGAAACAGAAACACACATTTATACTTGGTCTTTATCTATATATTTGGGCTTTACTGGTTTTGTGTAAGCCCTGTCCAGAGCTTGTCCTTATTTTTTTTTTTTTTTTTTTTTTTTTATTTTTTTCCTGGAAAATGACCCTATTTGGGTTGTTATGTCCTTAGCCAGCCGGCAGCACATCAACCCCAGGTATGTGCTCAGGGACCAGGGCTGCCCTGGACTTAACGTGGGTCCCATTTTAGCAGCACTTGCTCTTGCACTGTTCAGTATGTCGAGTCCCGAGGCTGTGATGCAAACAACGCAGCACTTCTGCAGGGAAAAGGGATTTTTGTGTTGTGCTGCCTGCAAGATGTGCTGCTGATGTATTTATATCAGCTCCAGCAGTGCTCATTAAAAATAGATGGTAATTGCAGCGCTTTTTAAGCAAGGCGATAACAGAACATAGCCATAAACAATGTGAAAATGTAGCAATTGCCACCCAGCACCTAGCTTTAATGGAAGGGTTTTATCTTCTAATTAAAGCCCCCTGATCACATCTTTCTCTGTGTGACTGTCTTTGCCTGAAAATAGACTAGGTGGTGCCGATCATACATATTTTGAGACGATATCTGTTCCAAATTAGAAGCTGGTTCTCTGCAGAGCTACCGTCTTCCTGTCTTGCTGGTGCTGGGCAGGAAAAAATACTGAAAATGTGAGTTGRGGGTGTTTGACAGAGTGGTGCACACACAGACTGTGGTAGATGCGTGCACAGACCTTGATGCATGTGCAGATGACAGTGTGTGGACCACGGTGCACACCCAGAACACAGTGCATGGATGTGAAGGTTTGCGGGTGTAATTGGCTAGTTACTAATTTATAGSTGGGTAATTTCCTGCTCATTTGAGCTGCTGAGGGCTGCAGATACCTTGGGCTGCTGTTATCTCAGCTGCCACTTTCCTGCTCTGCTATGGGCACGAGCAATGGCCAAGAACCCATGGGAAGCGGGAGGGAGGCACTGGGAGCAGCCCCCGGTTGTTCGGGATTCCTGAGGATGCTCCCGTTCAGCGGCTGCATGAGATCATTGGCTCCCTGCCAACAAACTATCCATAGACCAGTATCTTTCCTTAAATGCCCTCGCATGGCTCTCTAGGATCCTCTGAAGTTCAATACCTTTCCTTAGAGCCAGGAAAGAGAATTTCTTTAAAATACCAGAATTTCTTTAAAATACCTAGATCTAATCATTTTAGTGGCAAAGATGATTAAGCTTGGGCTGCTCAGCAAACCTCCCCGATCTCCCCAACAAAACCAGGAATGTCCTCGTGAAGATGGTATGTACCACCAACGGATGCTGCTGCTGAGATCAAGCAGGGAAGCGTTTTTATATGGATTATTAATTATACACCAGCATCCTGACAAGAGGAGGGACRTTAAATCTTATTCCAGGTTCTTTTGTCTATGTTTTATCTGGTTCCATACCCATTTGACAATWTATGGTGCTGTTCCACCCTATATCAGAGCATTATAAAGGTCCCTTTCCAGTGGCTGTTGTCCCCATTGGTTTGTTTCCTTCTACCTTCTCCTTCCCTGTCAAGCACAGGGATCCATAAGCTGCATGTGCCCATCACAGCTCTGTCTGGAGAGAGGAAAAAATAATATATATATATATTTTTTTAACAAATATTCAGCTAATGATAGGAGGTAGCATGCTATTTATGGCAAGGCCCAGCTCCGTGGTACCCAGGGGCTTTGCAGCAGCAGGAACTTTCCTCCTGCCCAAGCCTGGACGAAGGTTTTGGGTAGTGCAAAAATGCCCCCCTTGTCTGCTTGCTGCTGCACAGGCAGAAGAGAACTTCACATGTGTCTGGGCTTTCAGACTAGGTCTCATTTTTGTGGCATTTTAACCCATATTTAGACAAAAATGTTAGCAAATGTCTAATGGTCACTGAGTTCTCATTGGCTCAGTCCTGCTGACACGGATTAATCACATTTACTGAACTATAGAAATGCTCGGTAAGTTTTTTTTTTTCCTTTCCCCCACTTTTTTTTTTTTTTTTTTTTTTTTAAGTCAGCATTCCCAGAAATTGCTGGTTGTGTTTTAAAACAACTGACAAAGTGAAACACGCACAATGAAAGGGAACGCAAAGATAGTGCCGCGGGGTATTTTGCTCAAGTTGCTAAACCGTATCAGCACCGTCAATAAATTTTCACTCCCCACGCTAAAAGTTGCAACATTTCGGCCGCAATTGTGTTATTTGCTTATGTTTTCAGAAACTGCTTCTGGATGATCTCGCGCTCGCGGCCAGCGCTGCCCTGACGTGGACTTTGTGCCGCCTTTGCACCGGATGGGTCAGCAAGTGCGTGTTGAATGKTATCATAAGAGCTGAATTGTAAAGTGGTGAAATCACCTGAAATCACACGCTTAAGAGGCACAGCTCAGGTCATTCCCATTAGAGCGAGCTCGAGTCCACATAGTCTGTCGATGCCATTTGACAAGCAAATCTGTTATTTTCCAGCCAGCACCGAGGGAAGGGGGAAGTCAAAGGYGAGGGGTATTTTTCATCATTAGATCCTGTCCCTGCACTTTCTCTCTGCCTTGCCCAGTAAACACAGAGCTTGGATGCCGTGGGAGAATTCACACACACGAGATGTGCAGATTTTCCAGGCTTTTCTAAAGTAAGAACCCGCTAAGGCTCAAGCCCAGGTTGTTCTGGTACAACTTCGCTTAAGACACTGGTTGTTAAACTGCAAGCTCTTTTCATCCCACGCTCCCAGCTACTCTGCATACGGCTCAACTTATTATCCTTAATGAAGCCACTTCCACTCCAGCTCTTCTCAAGGCCACAAAACCTCTCACTTGCAAGCTCCTATCTCCCTCCAAAGTGCAATTCATGGGGCAGCCCGGCGCCTGCTGGCACAGAGCTCGCCATGGCTTTTCACATCTTTTTCTAGCTCCTACTGCCCCTGTGTGCTGCACTGGCAGCTGCGATGGATTCATTCCCATTATCCGATAAACACGTCAGCAGATCTGAGAAAGCAAAAGCTTTTCTGTTCCACCAAAGCCAGCCCATGCACGGCTGCTTTCCTTTCAGAGAAGCACGGTTTGCTAGAATTTAGCAGCAGTTATTGAAAAGGATTCGTGTCTCCATTCAGCTTTTTTTTTTGTCCATTTTTAGGTCCAGAATTTAGTGGTAACACTCAATTAGCTTTAAGTGTCTGGCTGAGCCTGAATAAGAAGTTTCTTGCATTATCTGTTACAAGCAGGCCATTTATTTCTTATGGAACTTCCCAGCCAATGCAAGTATTTCACAGCACCCCTTACATTGTAAAGTTTATTGCATTTCCAAATCCTTAAAATCTACCATTTGCGTGTCTCCATCTTCACATAGCGGCTTTTATAGCTTTTATAGCTAGTCCATAGTAAAAGTCATGACTCTATATTAATACTTAAGTGAGTGTATTAAGTGATCTTCCCTTATGGGCTCACAGATGTGCAGSTGATGTCTGGTTTGGATGTGCCTTGTGTGCATAAGGGACATGGAGGTGACAGCTCTGATGTGCTTCCTCCCGATCATCACCTACCCCAGTGAGTAATCACCATCCTGGGCTCAAATTCAGCCCCGAGCAAGCTCACAGCGCTCTGCTTGTGGCATTGGGGATGCAATGGGGACGCAACGGGCATGAGAGTCGGAGCAGTGTCCGTGCCGYGGTGCTGCCACCTCGTCACTG